TTTTACAAGCTTTTAAAGAGCAAAACAACATCTCAAGTATCTTGAGATATGACCCCAATTGGTGGAGTAGCTATTTGTAAGAAAATGCCTTGGAACTCTGAAGACCAGTCTAGAAACTTAGTGACCATTGTGACATAAGCGACGACAATGGTCAGCTCTGCCCAGTGTGTAACTGTGTTAGAGGATTATAGGGCCCTTGTCAGGTGGATTGTTTGCTGTTTTTCTATATTGTTGACCTGTCAGTGTTAATGGTCCTTGATCTGTTGTCACACCTAACACCTGTGTAGTGTATTGGGGACGGGGTCGTTTTCTGACAGTCTTCTAAGCCACACAATCCTACCAACATTTTCGCCTTAGAATCTTCATTAAGAATTATTTATTATACAAAACTGAAGTTTTTCTTTGTTCTGAAAAAAACCTGCCTGAAGACTGTTACCTTTCCTAATATTTATAACTTTTTTAAACAGTACATGTTAAAGTGTTTTATGTAAAAAAAATCTTAATTTTTTACCCGCAAGGTCTGAAGGACTTTGCAATGGTTGATATATAGACTGCATTTCATGTGTTTTATTTTAGATATTTTTAAATACCTGCAGCTAAACTCATTATGATGAGATCATAGTTTTGTACCTATTTCATCAAAACTTTTGGAACTGTTCAATCAAAGGTGAAGGTCACAGTTCTGTAAATGTTCAGTCAGAGGTCAAGGTCACAGTTCTGTAAATGTTCAGTCAGAGATGAAATCACAGTTTTCTGTAAATGTTCAGTCAGAGGTGAAGGTCACAGTTCTCTGTAAATATGTAGTCAGAGGTCAAGGTCACAGTTCTGTAAATGTACAGTCAGAGGTGAAGGTCATAGTATTGAAACTATTGGATCAGACATGAGACCTGCAAGATTCACAGATCCTTACTTTCTTGTGAGTATATAAGAAATCCTGTGTTAGTAATGGATGGTCTGAATACTAAGCTTTTTCTGGGATTATGTATTAGTGGATATATATATATATATTGGCAGAAATACCAGTCTAGGAGTGGAATCAAGTTGAAGATATGTGTTAAGTGAGATATATACTAATCAGCTTCAATATCATAACAATGTACAAAGGAAGGTTGTGATACGCACTGTCAGTCTGAAGTCAAGAGGTACAGACACATTATCACTAAATCATTTTCTCATGCATCAGATCATTTCAGGTATAAAGTATTAGCAAATTAGAGCCGAATACATGAACAACATACTGTTTGCCTGTATAACAATCTGATTTCAGTCCTCAGCGCAGAACTGCTCTGAAGTGATTTATCACCCGGTAGGTAATAATTGTAACACCTCTGATCCCCGAATAACTGGCAATTAAATTTATGTAGTATTCAGTTCTGTCAGTGGAATTATCTTTGGAATTTATTAATCTCTTGACATTTCAGAATTAAAGTCTAAATGAGAGACTCTAAGTAGAAGTCATATAGAAGAGAATTTATTAAATTAGAATGTGGATCAGGGACGGAGGAGATTAACAGGATAATAGACAAAGATTAACTAGATAATCCATAAAAAAAAACCTGACAGTGCCGATGTCACTAATCACGATCACGGAGTGTAGGGATCATACCAGGCCACAACTCGCTGACATTGGTGTTCTAATGCTTTTTAATCTCTGCTCATTCATGATGTTTAAAGCACCTGCTTTTTAGTCCAGGTAATCGAAACTGGGATTACAGGTAGAAAATATGGGAATTGTCCCTTTAACACTGGTATGTATATAAAGTCGCTTCTCTCCCGTTCGTGCCGTCAGTGTGGGTATTGGTTGATTGTGTTATGGTTGTGTGTCATATAAGGAGAAATATTCAGTATAGGAGGGAGCACACACTTAATAGTGAGGAACACATCTAAGGTAAGGCAGGGGAGATTGAGGCAACCATTTTAAGATTATTAAGGTTCAAACAAAAATGGATTATTTTGTAAGTAGATGGAATTCATATTTCATTCAACTCATATAAATTTGAAAAATATGTCTTAAGGCTCTGATTGCCAAGTGATGAATGAACAGTTTATGAGTGCCAATTGGCATATGATCTGTGTTAATACTGGGTCAGGTAGAACACACTGAAAGTGAGGGCCTGGGACCGCAAACAGAAAGTTGTTACTCTGAGAAAGCACACAGAAAGTTTATAACCCAGAAACAGTGCACAAAAAGTTGTGACCCTTAGTTACAAAACTTACTGAAAGTTATAATCCAGGGATTGTACACAGAAAATTATGACCCAGGGGCAACACACAGAAAGTTATGACCCAGGGGCAGCATGCAGAAATTTGTAGTAACCTAGGGGCAACACACAGAAATTTATGACCCAAGGGTAGTACACAGGACATTGTAACCCAGGGGCAACACACAGGACATTTTGATATGTCCCAGAGGATATACACAATGTTTTAGCGTACCCTATCAGTGATCTATGAAATGATGCTTAGACGAATTTACAATTCTTATATTCTAGAAATCAGACAAGATTTGTGACAGTTAATTTGTAGATGTTTTATTGGCCAGAACCAAAAAATGGGCCTACTGATAGTGAATATCTGTTTGGATCCAATTTAATGGTTATCCAATGAAAATTAGTGGTAAGGTACTTGAGATGAGGCTGACCTATGGGTACCAGCCAACTGCCATACTTATCTCCCTGTATCAGACACACTGGAGAGTTTGCTCAGAGTATCAGGCCCGCTTCAGTAGTAATGGAGAGCTTGTGATCAGCCTCTGTATCCATAGTATTGCAGTAGTGCTGGAAGTGTTTTCATATGGAAGGAACATTTTACATTTATATGTAAGAAAAACTTTACCAACATTTAAATATTTTATCCATATATATTAGAATATTTAATGATATTTTTCTCAATTTTTTGTTAGGTTCAAAATAGCGTGATAAAGAATGGCTTATATTTTTGTAGGTGGTGAAATTGGGTTTTGAATGTTGAGCTGTGATTGCTATGTTTAAGTAATGATTATACTCTGTAATATGCTCATCTTCATCATTTGGATCTGTGTGATGTATCACATCTGCTTTCATTAGAACAGAAAATACTATCTTTTAACCAAGTTTTTGTATTCCTCTGAACATTACTATTTTGTAGGCTACCTGTCAAAGGTAACACTTAATATTTTTGGTATTTCTAAAATTTCACATTTTGTTTAATATTATTTTCAATGTTGGACTTCTTTTCCTGGGTTATTTAAAATTTGATTGCCAGCTCTTGAGTTTTTGTGAGTACAGGTTTATAAGAGGTGATTTACTAACATGTCCGACCATGGACCTGTGTTTACTGTGGAGCAGATCTGTACACAGGCATTGTATACAGTTCAGCTTCCAACACATAATCTTTTCTATAGTTATTAAGCCAATACATGAATTATCAAGTTACCTGGCAGAGACTAATGAGTTTGTGTAAGGGATAACTAATGCCTGCTGACAGGTACCCTTTTAAATTGTGTCAGGGTACCAGGAACGGGAGCTCAATTAAGATTTTACTTCATAAAAATCTGGTGCCACGACATTAAATACAGCTTTGTTATTACGAAGATTGCAATCAGAAGTTGATACAGACGCCTGTAGGTCACCTGTCTCCATATACGTAGACCTCAGGTTCACATAATTGTCAATTTCCTAAAATGAAGTGCAGGGTTAGGTTTATATCTTATACTCTTTTGAAATCTTAATATTTATTACATATTAGTCATCTGAATGAACTGTCGGTTTTAATTTGATGAAACCATAAAATGTGATTTATAATCTTGAAAAAGAAAAAAAGACGTACCGACAGTTATTTCACCAATAAATTATGTGAACGATTACATGATTCTATAGATAGAAACTTTCATTAAAATACTGTATAATAAATCTGGATAGTATGGTGCGATAGACTCTACTTGTGATCTGTGTGTTTTGGCAGGTAATTTGCCAAAACATTGAATCTTTGATCAGGCAATATTTGGGGAAGGAGTTTTCAGTTTTGAACACTCTCGTAAATAGCTGTTAGATAAGGACAGGATATGTCAAACTACATGTACAGTTACATGAAGGAGTGTTCAAGTGTTGACATAGGAAAAGTCATAAGATCTAAACATACAAATGATGGAGACTTCAGGGACTTGTTTCCTCATGGCTATCTATAGGCACAAGTGTGGGTGGAACATACAGCAGGTCATTTCCTTGTCGTGATGATGTAATCATATTGTACAAGATAATCTCTGCATAGTTCTGTTTATCGTAAGTGTGTGGTATACTATGAATGTATGTGTTGTTTACATATCCATCATGAAGATCCTGGTTGTTGTGTACTATTTGGTTACGTGTTTCCTGATAAGATACTGGTAAGATACTATACGTCTACTATATCTCCTTAAATATCTCCATGGAAACTAGACAAATATATCTCCCTAAATATAAATAGTTTTGAATTTGTATGAATGTAACGGCGAAGAAGTTTCAATGGTGTCAAAGGTCGTCGGTTTGTCACTAGCATATGATGAGCCGTACTGGTATAATCTCGACAAATGAATTCTAATGATTGAGTAATGGTGATAGGGCAGAGTTTTATGTACTGTACTGATCCTGCCCTGTCACAGCTAGGTCACGACTAGGTCGCGACCTTACATAGGGACTGACATTAACGAGGAGGACGATGTGATGATTTAGTGGTCATTATACATCTGTTTCATACAGAACCCATTGTTTAGTGGAGAAAGTAATACTAAGGTAATCCTTAAGCCATTATTAGCTACTACAGTTTAATTTCTGTCAAAAATGTTTGTAGTCTCCATTCATTAATAGTATAATTAGTGGTTGTAATGGTATAATGGTATGACATTTATGTCCAATTGCTGTTGGTTTGTTTAAATATCTCATCACACACTGACATATATATCATGTATTTTATTATTGTTTTATTTTTTTTTTTTGGTGTTGGTCTGTGACCCAATTATTAAACATTCTTGTTCTGTGTTACAGATGGCGGCTTTAAGTCAGTATGTCAACCAAATACTCATCCATGGAACTACAACCTTCCAGGATCTACATGGACTGTCCCCAAATCTTTGCTGCTGATGTGACCTCAAGAGAGTGCTCAAAGTCTCGTCTTGTCAACAGTGTGGTTCATGCAGCATGCATCATAATGAAGGGCAGGGGCAGACAACTGTGGATGTTAATGTGTGTGATTTGTGTCGTGTTGTGCTTCAGTGCCTATAGCAATAGTGTGGTATGGAGGTCAATGGGGGCAAGTAGACTCTCTTCAAATGAAGAGCTGTCCGTTGCTGGGGCTCGAAAACTCCTCGAGGAGGAGGAATGGGGAACAGAAAAGCTCCATCCCCCGGGAACAGAAAAGAGACTTCCTCACTCTATTATATTTGGAGTTCGTAAATGTGGCACACGAGCCATGCTGGAGTTTTTGGGACTTCACCCACAAATAAGGCCGGCCGATCATGAGGTACACTACTTTGATGATGACATGAACTATGATCTTGGTATAGATTGGTACAGAAATCAAATGCCTTACTCCTTCCCCGATCAAGTCACCATTGAGAAAAGTCCACGCTATTTCATCACAGAAAAAGTTCCAGAAAGAATCTCCAATATGAATAATTCAATCAAGCTTATTGTACTTCTTAGAAATCCAACTGTTCGAGTGATATCTGACTACACACAAGTGTATTACAACAAAAAGGCTAAGGGGAAAGTTCATGACAAACTGGAGAACCTAGCTATTGAGCCTTCTACTGGGGAGGTAAATACACGCTACAAGGCTGTACGTATCAGTATTTATCACCAACACTTTGAGCGGTGGCTGAAGGTATTTCGCCCTGACCAGTTCCACATAGTGGATGGGGATAACCTCATTGTTCGTCCTTGGGAGGAAATTTCTCTTGTAGAGGAATTTCTTGGATTGCCGCACAAGATCACGCGAGAACATTTTTATTATAACTCAACGCGTGGATTTTATTGCATGAAATTAGGACATGAAAAGTGTTTAGGTGCTACAAAGGGGAGGCGGCACCCCTTCACTGACCCAGTGGCTGTGGAGAAATTACGTACTTTCTTTAAGCCGCACAATCAGTTGTTATTTCAAATGATTAACAGGACATTCAACTGGAAGTGAGGGAGAGGTTTGTAAACCTTCAAAAAAGGCAGCTCAAAAATATCTATTCTCTTCAAAATGTGCCAATTTTTCCTAAATAATATTTCAATTTCATAAAACTTATTTATTTTTCATTCCCAAGACAAATTATTTTTCATAAATTCATCATAACGATGAGATAGAATGTATGTATGTAGTGTGTTTTATAGAGACAGTGTGATAATGGGCCAAGTGTGATATACTGTTCACATAGATGAAATGTTATGCAGTCTGGCATGATAATCACCTTTAATCAATATAAAATTACTAAATACTAGTCTTGTATAATCATATGATACCACTTCAAAGACATTTAGTGACAGACCAGTGTACAGATGTGAGGTTTTCGTTTGTACCTCAGTCAGCTGTAGGGATGCTAACCATGGCAGTGTAACTACCAATCCAAGAAAAATCACATGAAGGAAAACATGTATCCATGATATGATATTTCTGCCAGATGTATTTGTAAAATTAAAATACTTCTGTGGTATTAAAACAAAGACGCATATGTGCATTGACTTCATACGGGATAAATTGTGCTTCTTGACTTTAGTTTTAAGCAGCGTGAGATTAAAAAGTTGTACTGTTTAATAGAGATAAAGCTAACAGCTGAATACCAGTTTCTCCTTTGTATTGTTAGTATGACACTGATGACATGTAGAAGGACGATATGATATCACAAACACTACATATTTACTTCATTATAACGGTACAGAAGTAAAATTATATTGCATCTAAAAAAAAATTCAATTTTACTTTATTGGGCACTTCATAATGTTGGTCCGAAAACCAGAGCTTGGGTCCCTCTAATTTCATGTGTTTTATAATATATTGAGCTGGTGTCCCTCAAGTTCTGTTTATAGCTGTGGTATATTGCATTGTGCTACAAGCATCATCTGACAAAAGTCCTACATGCTTCAAGGTCACTGTATGTCTAACTCTTTCTGTGGTTAATATTTCACAAATGTCATAATTTTTTTTTATACCTTTCTAACTTTTTTCCGAGGAAACAAACAACTCTATGTTTTTACTAATGTAGAATTTGATTAACTATGTCTGTATCTGATCTGATCGATGAATTAGTTCTGTTGTAGGATTTCTTTTCGTCTTTTTTCAATACTGCCTTCCAAACCATTTAAGGTAGTTTCCTACGAAACAATAAAATCACTTGAAATATATAGACAGTCATCATCCATAATGTTTCGTGACAAACCTATGTGTGGCGATACATTACTTCTCTCACACAAAAATAAAACTGAAAAACAAGAGAGAATTTTGTCACTTAAAGAAATGATTCATTTTACATTCCCTTTTTGGCAATAATAGAAATATTAAGTCAGGTGCATTTGAAAATGAATTGAAAAATCATTTTCTTTAGAGTTAGAAAGAAACAAATCCCAGTAGCTATCGGAAATTGTTCTGTCTTTGACATATAACAAATGGAAAATTTTATCCTGTTTTTCTAAGTAATGGGAATTAGGTTGTGAAGTAACGGTTTGATAAGAAACATTCTGCCACTGATTAATCTCAAATCTGTGATAGTTCATTCAACATCTTACAAGGTGTGTGTTAGAGTTTTTATATGGAAAAGAAATTTTGCTGTCAACTATTTGGCAGTTGTTGAAATATACAAGCCATTTGTACAAGAAACGGCAGCTGTGTACAGTAATTCAGATCTAGGTGTCTTAACAGGCCAGGGAATTAATATCTCACACACAGATCATTTCAGTACCTTTCTAGAATAGCTTTTATAAGTAAAACAAACGGTATGATTGTGAAAAACTGACTCTGTTAAACAAACAAGTGCTTCTATAACAATGATATTTCTTCTTGTTACTTGTCTGACACACAATTTTCCATTTTTCAAGAGTTAGAATGTCATTATAACGGAAAGCAAATTTCTTTTAAAGGAATATAAAACTAAATTTTTTTTTCAATTTAACATCCGTTGCACTTTTTGTTTTCGAAAGTAACTGCATGTTGTTTGTTATTTTGAGATACAAACTCCTGATTTCATCTGAAATTTCCGTGTAATTCATTGATTGATTGATGATCTTGATCACACGGAGATATATATTACATACTTCTTAGATATATCTGTGTTGTCAGGGAACATACTGATGCACAAGATATATTCTCACTGAGTTTGAATTCTGCTACTGTAGGGATTCGGAGGCTGTGTTAGATGTGTAACCAAGCATCAATCAGCCTGGGAGATATGATCTGCTATGTGTTCAACAAGATATGTTGTCTGGGTTTATTGTTACTGAAACCATTATCTAATAGAATAACCCCATTATGCTTCTGCGATATTTTTTATACCATTAACTTATTGGCTGTTATTTGGGTCAGATTATTTTTGCAGCGTTAACCCTTATCTATACATTATAATTGTCTGGCAAATAGGGATTTGTCAAGCGTATTGAATTTCCTTGTTTACAAGTTAGACAGACAATCATGCCAGATAAAAGAATTACAAAATACCTGTGTATGGTTGAAATACTAATTATTGTCCATCGGGAGAGAGAGTTCGTTAGGTTTTTACAAACATTGTCCATCACTATTATGTTGTGGTAATTACATTAGCAGATTTTAGCAGGTGCTTTCACAAGGAAATGGATAGGTGCCATCTAATAAAGGAAATGTTAAATTGATCACCAATGATTCTGGTGGAGCTAAGAAATGGATATCTTGTGAAAAACGAAAAATGTATTTCTGTTTTGATTCATGTCTTTGAACTAAAAGCTTGTGTCATTGCTATATGGGCTATCAAATTATAAACAGACACTGCAAGTTTACAGGAAAAATCTATCAAAACTGACTACGGTTCCTCCATCTTTATCACAAAATTGTTTTCAAATAACCTCAATTTGACTTTTTCAGGAAGTAACACCCAGGCCTCTATTTCTCCGCGTAGAAGTACTGCAATACATATTACCTAAGTATGACAGGTTTTTTAAAAGTCATTTCCAGGTCTAGTTTTATTGTATGTAACTATTATTTTATATTCTATGAGAAAAAAAAAAGAAAAATAATAAATCTAGATAGACATTTGGACAGGTGAGAATGTCTTCACAACTGCTAAGGTCATTTGGTAACAGAGGCAGGAAGGACAATCTGCGAGTCAGGTATTGGTGTACCATATATCATGTCAATACAGGTTTGTCAATAATATGGTGAAAGTGAGAATGTTCCTTTGTCATTGTCTGTTAAAGATAACTAGACTACTCCTGGTGCTTCTCTCTTCATCACACTTAACTGTCACCAACCTGGACCCTCAATTCATCGCCCATAACTTGCGTGTTATTTAGGAACCAAATCAAATGTCACAACTTCTTGGATGTATGGTCACGCTTTGTCAGAAATCTGACAGAGAACGTTCATTACAAACCTACTAATGTCATGGTTTTGGTAAAAGATAATATGCCACGACCTGATAATCTCATTTATTGCTCAGTGTTTCCAAGCAGCTGCAGAAAAAGGCAAACAATAACACTATATCAGCTACTGTAAATGTTCTTAAAAAGTTTTTAAACACTGAGCCAAGTAAATTTTTTTATAGAAACAAACTCTTAAAACAAGAAGGAAGACAGAGAATAGAACGAAAACAAAATAAACACCGTTCAGAGATTTTTTTTCTAAGACTGTATACATATATCTTTTCACAAACAGTTGAGTAGATGAGTTTTGTTATTATACACATGAATGTAGTATTGATGTTAGAAAAAATTGGGAATGTCTACCACACCAGATTCCCAATTTCTGACCATGTTGACTTTACGCCCTAACAACCGAATCTGTTTTAAACATTTGTTGGTCGTTCCACATAATGATCTTTTCTGGTGTTTTGTTTCGACAGGAGCATCAGGTTTTTCAGTCTGTTGTTTTGAAAAGTCATCACAATGCAATGGTTCTTGTAAAAAAAACGTTTGTGTATCACGTCTTACTTTTGCTGGGTTTATTTCAAAGGGGTAGTTTACTTGTGATATGCTGAGAGTAGGCTGGGTGTGTGTACTTTTTCAGGGTTTTTAAGAAGATGTGTATTTTAACATTGATAATTTCTATAACGTTTCTATTAGACTTCACATCTGACTTACATAAAAGTGTACCTTAGAATAAATATTGAAGAACGTCAAAGGTTGGACAGGGAGATAAAAAGTATTCAAACATGCACTGACGTTAAGATTTTGTTTCGAGATTTATGAGCTTTCTGTCTGTTGATTTCACCTGAGGGGACATATGTATATCGATGCATTACTACAGCAGTTATTGCCATCTAGATTAATACATAGATACCATGTGTTTTCATATCAGGACATGCTCAAATTGTTTTAACCTTGATTGCTATCTAGTGACACACTTAACATAGGGTCTCACAGATCAGTCAAATTCTTACTCGTCAGTTTCGTCTCCAAAATCAAAAATGATTTGGAAAGATAAATTATTACTGATGTATTTTTGGCAGGATGAATCTGTTGGTTATCAGTTATCAATAGACTCCAGCGTTCTTGATAGATCCTGCATAATTAGTGATATATGAATTAACTTTTTTGCAATGTTTTCGCTATCAATTATTGACTGTTAATGCCATTGCTAAGAATGACAGCTGATGGGACACACCCCTGGCGTTAGATACCGCATGTACGTCAAATTATCGTTATCATGATGACGAATGTGACACAGAACAAATTTATCTTTCGGTGGTACATAACATCCTTATCACTACAAACTTCAACAACAATTTCCTTTTTGTAATTCCTTTATTTGTTTTTTCTCCATTTCCGTATTTTTAAAACAGTTTAACAGAATCTATCATTGAAATTTGTACAATTTTTTTGGCACTGATGACTGTTCTCTTCCTGTATCAGCTGTATGTCTTCATTAAATAGTCGCTTAGAGATTCTCTGTATTGGCATTGAAGTAATCAGGTTCGTTTTAGAGTCTGAAATCTCATTAAACAGGATAATGTTTATGTATAATGTACCATAGCAAAAAGAGTGTTGCCCTACCCATTTAATGAAATGTGCCGACAATTAGAATGAAAAAATTCCTTCCTTTCATTTCTGAATATCCAGGCGAAGTTTTATTGAAAACTTGATTTTTTATACTGAATGTTCATGCTGTAATGAATTCCTACAGAAAAAATACCAGAACGTTAAGAGATCACTGATTGTCCAGTCAGTGTCCAGTTTTTATGTGGCTTTAGATTGATTGTTATTGTCCTGAATAAAGAACATATCTTGCTAATTGTAAATGTATGTTGATTCTATCCCAGTTCTATCACAGAAGTATGAACAAGGGTTTGTGAGCGTTCTGAGAGTTTGAAGTGCTAGATTGTACTGCTGAGATATATATGTAAGTGCTGTGTATGTATGAAGCTGTCTCCTATTGAACTTGTTCATTGTTACATGTATACGAAATATACAACGTCCATCATGCGGATGTCATTCAACTGCAATAAATTACTGAAATCAGCATATCTGGGATGTGTTATCATTGAATGACTCTGTGTAGTGAAAATACACAGGACTCCTATATTTACATAACAAGTTCAACAATTGTCACACCCATTTTAAGTGACATAGTTTATATATCAATTACCTGATGTACAAATTATCATAAATAATAAAATGGTGAAACACAGTTACTTCATTAACACAAGGTAAAAATAAAAACGTTTTCTGAGCAGCTACCAGTATTTATGATTCAGCTTTAGTGAATATTGTTTATAGAAGGTTTTGTGAAAGTGATCATCGGTCAGTGCTTAGTAAAATTGAGGTTAAGTTTTAAGTTCAATAATTTGAAATATCAAAAGCATTTTAAGGCAAGTGTCATATTTATTTATAGGATGAAATTGATACGAATATTCATAAAGGAAATGGCCAAATTGATTTGCCGTCGAGACAGGCCTTCTACAAGGTAGTACAGGACAGTTAGGGAATAGAATATGATAAGTTTTGAAAGCAGGTAATATTTTACATAACAGACTTTAGAACAACATTTAGCATTTTTGTTGTTTTTTCTGATCGCAAAGGGAAGAAGTGACATCCATCAGGATCATTTGTTTCATATATGAAACACAGTAATAATATCCATTTAAGTACAGGAAAAATCACATTTCAACTTTATTGTTTTCTCAAAAAATATATTATATCCCTGAAAAATCAAGTGAAGTTTGAATATGAAAAACGGTTAAGAAATCAAATACACAGTAAACAAGAGGAGTATTTTGGATGAAACTGTTTGGTTGAGATGTACTTTTGACTTAAAAGGGAAGAGACAGGAAAGTGGACCCATCCTAAAAGCCAGTGTTTTATAAGGCTGGCTTTAGTTGAGATCTTTGCCCTTTCTGTATCCAATACTTTCAATACTTCTATGGTCGCAGCGGTGACACAACGAAAGTCCTTGCCTGGTAGATTAACGGCACTTGTCAGACACTATGGGGACAACTTTATATCCATTACGCCTTGGAAGCTTGCTGGAGTTCTACAAACAAGTACACGCTAATCTAGGGTTACTCAAAAGTTCACAGATATTCTGATTTCAACATCTGGTGTAAATCTGTCATCTGACTTAACATACAGTCCAATACACAACATTTAGTGTAAATCTGTCTTCTGACCAAACATACAGACCATTCCCCAACATCTGGTGTAAATCTGTCATCTGACTTAACATACAGTCTAATACCAAACATTTAGTGTAAATCTGTCTCCTGTTTTACCATACAGACCATTCCCCAACATCTGGTGTAAAACTGTCATTTGACTTAACATACAGTCTAATACCAAACATTTAGTGTAAATCTGTCTTCTGACCTAACATACAGACCATTCCCCAACATCTGGTGTAAATCTGTCTTCTGACCTAACGTACAGACCAATCCCCAACATCTGGTGTAAACAGTCTCACCTCTAGTGTAAATCTGTCTACTGACTCAACAGTCTCACCTCTAGTGTAAATCTGTCTACTGACTCAACAGTCTCACCTCTAGTGTAAATCTGTCTACTGACTCAACAGTCTCACCTCTAGTGTAAATCTGTCTACTGACTCAACAGTCTCACCTCTAGTGTAAATCTGTCTACTGACTTTACCATCTCACCTCTAGTGTAAATCTGTCTACTGACTTTACCATCTCACCTCTAGTGTAAATCTGTCTACTGACTCAACAGTCTCACCTCTAGTGTAAATCTGTCTACTGACACAACAGTCTCACCTCTAGTGTAAATCTGTCTACTGACTTAACAGTCTCACCTCTAGTGTAAATCTGTCTACTGACTCAACAGTCTCACCTCTAGTGTAAATCTGTCCACTGACTTTACCATCTCACCTCTAGTGTAAATCTGTCTACTGACTTAACAGTCTCACCTCTAGTGTAAATCTGTCTACTGACTCAACAGTCTCACCTCTAGTGTAAATCTGTCTACTGACTCAACAGTCTCACCTCTAGTGTAAATCTGTCTACTGACACAACAGTCTCACCTCTAGTGTAAATCTGTCCACTGACTTTACCATCTCACCTCTAGTGTAAATCTGTCTACTGACTTTACCATCTCACCTCTAGTGTAAATCTGTCTACTGACTTTACCATCTCACCTCTAGTGTAAATCTGTCTACTGACACAACAGTCTCACCTCTAGTGTAAATCTGTCTACTGACTCAACAGTCTCACCTCTAGTGTAAATCTGTCTACTGACTTAACAGTCTCACCTCTAGTGTAAATCTGTCTACTGACTTAACAGTCTCACCTCTAGTGTAAATCTGTCTACTGACACAACAGTCTCACCTCTAGTGTAAATCTGTCTACTGACACAACAGTCTCACCTCTAGTGTAAATCTGTCCACTGACTTTACCATCTCACCTCTAGTGTAAATCTGTCTACTGACTTTACCATCTCACCTCTAGTGTAAATCTGTCTACTGACTTTACCATCTCACCTCTAGTGTAAATCTGTCTACTGACACAACAGTCTCACCTCTAGTGTAAATCTGTCTACTGACTTAACAGTTTCACCTCTAGTGTAAATCTGTCTACTGACACAACAGTCTCACCTCTAGTGTAAATCTGTCTACTGGCTTAACAGTCTCACCTCTAGTGTAAATCTGTCTACTGGCTTAACAGTCTCACCTCTAGTGTAAATCTGTCTACTGACTTTACCATCTCACCTCTAGTGTAAATCTGTCTACTGACTTTACCATCTCACCTCTAGTGTAAATCTGTCTACTGACTTTACCATCTCACCTCTAGTGTAAATCTGTCTACTGACTCAACAGTCTCACCTCTAGTGTAAATCTGTCTACTGACACAACAGTCTCACCTCTAGTGCAAATCTGTCTACTGGCTTAACAGTCTCACCTCTAGTGTAAATCTGTCTACTAACTTTACCATCTCACCTCTAGTGTAAATCTGTCTACTGACTTTACCATCTCACCTCTAGTGTAAATCTGTCTACTGACTCAACAGTCTCACCTCTAGTGTAAATCTGTCTACTGACTCAACAGTCTCACCTCTAGTGTAAATCTGTCTACTGACTCAACAGTCTCACCTCTAGTGTAAATCTGTCTACTGACTTTACCATCTCACCTCTAGTGTAAATCTGTCTACTGACACAACAGTCTCACCTCTAGTGTAAATCTGTCTACTGACTTTACCATCTCACCTCTAGTGTAAATCTGTCTACTGACACAACAGTCTCACCTCTAGTGTAAATCTGTCTACTGACACAACAGTCTCACCTCTAGTGTAAATCTGTCTACTGACTCAACAGTCTCACCTCTAGTGTAAATCTGTCTACTGACTTAACAGTTTCACCTCTAGTGTAAATCTGTCTACTGACTTAACAGTCTCACCTCTAGTGTAAATCTGTCTACTGACTCAACAGTCTCACCTCTAGTGTAAATCTGTCTACTGACTTTACCATCTCACCTCTAGTGTAAATCTGTCTACTGACTTTACCATCTCACCTCTAGTGTAAATCTGTCTACTGACTTTACCATCTCACCTCTAGTGTAAATCTGTCTACTGACTTAACAGTCTCACCTCTAGTGTAAATCTGTCTACTGACTTAACAGTCTCACCTCTAGTGTAAATCTGTCTACTGACTTTACCATCTCACCTCTAGTGTAAATCTGTCTACTGACTTTACCATCTCACCTCTAGTGTAAATCTGTCTACTGACTTTACCATCTCACCTCTAGTGTAAATCTGTCTACTGACTCAACAGTCTCACCTCTAGTGTAAATCTGTCTACTGACTTAACAGTCTCAACTCTAGTGTAAATCTGTCTACTGACTTAACAGTCTTACCTCTAGTGTAAATCTGTCTATTGAGTCTACTTAAATCTACTTGGAATAAATTGATACATATTGAAGTGGTCATGTATCTACATCAGTGTTACAGTATTCTTTATTCTATATTCTTTATTCTGTATTCTTTATTCTGTATTGGTTTTGAAGCAGGTGATGTCGATATAAACCTGATGAACCACAGATTAAACACAAAATGCATCAGACAATGTTGCTGGAGAGAAAATTCAAATTAAAATGTAAATAAATTGGAGATTAGCATAAATGGGTCTGGCAGTGATAGGAATCTTCCACGCAACATACAGATTGTTTATTATGTGAAAATTTCTCCGACAATTTATTCTAGACTTGTCTTTGTTTCCTAAGAACAATACCAGCATGTGTTGCCACCAAGTAACACTCTGAATAACAATGAAAGATAGAGGAGAATAAGAATATCTGTGTGGTCCATTATACAGTTTTCAAACATGTCATTTCAGCTGTCATGGTAACATATCAACAGGCTTGCTGCCGTTGTAAGACGTCTTGCTGGAGAAGCCATCAAACTTTTGTGTATTGGTATTTTTCTGATAGAAACCAGCTATTATACTGTTTTTAAAAAAAATGTAATGTTTGTTAGCTTTCTGATTTTTTTTTTCTTTCTGTAACAATTTAGAATTTTAAACCCGGTGTTAAGATCTTTAAATCTTATAAACTCATTGAAATTAATGTTCATTTTTATTAACACTCCAAACTAGAGTTAAGAGTTTTAATCTTATCTGTACAACTGGTGTCATGAATGATGATGGTCATTGTCTTATTTATCTGACAAGAATTCCATGTCCTGTAATAAGCCCATCCCATGATAACTAACATGACTCTGTCAGCAGTTGTTAAAATCAGTCAGCACAAACAAATTTCTTGTTAGTATAAAGCATAATGATGAAGTGAATTCCTTGTTAGTGTGAAGAATTATGATAAACAGAATTCCTTGTTAGTGTGAAGAATTATGATAAACTGAATTCCTTGTTAGTGTGAAGAATTATGATAAACAGAATTCCTTGTTAGTGTGAAGAATTATGATAAACAGAATTCCTTGTTAGTGTGAAGAATTATGATAATCTGAATTCCTTGTTAGTGTGAAGAATTATGATAAACAGAATTCCTTGTTAGTGTGAAGAATTATGATAAACAGAATTCCTTGTTAGTGTGAAGAATTATGATAATCTGAATTCCTTGTTAGTGTGAAGAATTATGATAAACTGAATTCCTTGTTAGTGTGAAGAATTATGATGAAGAACTGAATTCCTTGTTAGTGTGAAGAATTATGATGAAAACTGAATTCCTTGTTAGTGTGAACTGAATTCCTTGTTAGTGTGAAGAATTATGATAAACTGAATTCCTTGTTAGTGTGAAGAATTATGATAAACTGAATTCCTTGTTAGTGTGAAGAATTATGATGAACTGAATTCCTTGTTAGTGTGAAGAATTATGATGAACTGAATTCCTTGTTAGTGTGAAGAATTATGATAAACTGAATTCCTTGTTAGTGTGAAGAATTATGATAACTGAATTCCTTGTTAGTGTGAAGAATTATGATAATCTGAATTCCTTGTTAGTGTGAAGAATTATGATAACTGAATTCCTTGTTAGTGTGAAGAATTATGATAAACTGAATTCCTTGTTAGTGTGAAGAATTATGATGAACTGAATTCCTTGTTAGTGTGAAGAATTATGATAAACAGAATTCCTTGTTAGTGTGAAGAATTATGATGAACTGAATTCCTTGTTAGTGTGAAGAATTATGATAAACTGAATTCCTTGTTAGTGTGAAGAATTATGATAATCTGAATTCCTTGTTAGTGTGAAGAATTATGATAAACTGAATTCCTTGTTAGTGTGAAGAATTATGATAATCTGAATTCTTTGTTAGTGTGAAGAATTATGATAACTGAATTCCTTGTTAGTGTGAAGAAATTCCTTGTTAGTGTGAAGAATTATGATAATCTAATCTGAATTCCTTGTTAGTGTGAAAGAATTGAATGATGAAGAATTAATAAACTGAATTCCTTGTTAGTGTGAAGAATTATGATGAAACTGAATTCTTTGTTAGTGTGAAGAATTATGATAACTGAATTCCTTGTTAGTGTGAAGAATTATGATAACTGAATTCCTTGTTAGTGTGAAGAATTATGATAATCTGAATTCTTTGTTAGTGTGAAGAATTATGATAATCTGAATTCTTGTTAGTGTGAAGAATTATGATGAATTCCTTGTTAGTGTGTGAAGAATTAGTGTGAAGATGATAATCTGAATTCCTTGTTAGTGTGAAGAATTATGATAATCTGAATTCCTTGTTAGTGTGAAGAATTATGATAATCTGAATTCCTTGTTAGTGTGAAGAATTATGATGAACTGAATTCCTTGTTAGTGTGAAGAATTATGATAATCTGAATTCCTTGTTAGTGTGAAGAATTATGATAATCTGAATTCCTTGTTAGTGTGAAGAATTATGATAACAGAATTCCTTGTTAGTGTGAAGAATTATGATAATCTGAATTCCTTGTTAGTGTGAAGAATTATGATGAACTGAATTCCTTGTTAGTGTGAAGAATTATGATAAGAATGTAGTTCAGTGTTTGGTTGCTTTTGTTTGGCTTGTACAGCTACATAATAATTAGAATTGATTTATCTTAGGTACAGAATAGCAAGGTTGGCTGCTTTTCTTTAATTTTCTTGACTTTTAAAGACACTATCAGTTGAATTTAATTAGCGTGTGTAATGTTTTTCCAAGGTAATTAAAACCACCATGAGGTCGTTCATTTCAACTTATTTAAATTCTTATTATTAATTACGTAAGTAATAAGAAGGGTAAATTATAAGACCACGTCGACTCCAGGCTTGTTAAGGTATGAGTTATCATCGTGGTTGAGAACCTATTTACAGTGTTTCATATTATAGAACAATCAAGTCTTTAACAAATAACTTAAGTTATGGTGAGTTGAACAGAATTTTTGCGTAAGATAAATTAAGTCATTGCTTTCAAACAGGTTTTTCTTTTAAATTTTTTTTTTTCTTTTTCTTGTGGAGTACATGATATTGGAAAGTGTTCTGAATTCAATTGAAAATTGTTTAAATTAGGCTTCTCTTGAGTGTTGTTATTAACTTTCTTTATGATATAGAGAATGACTTAAACAGTTTTGTGACAACATAATTATACTTTATTTCCTGGTGGTAACAACTACGCACTTCTGAGGGTAAACCTGTTATGTAGCTATGTAAGAGGTCTGTAATCATTTCAAATAAGACAATAACTGACCTCCTGGTCAGTAATTACTTCTGTAAGACAAAAGTGACTACCGTTATAGGTATATACTGCCAGGGATGTTTTACAAAGCTTCAGAAATAAAAAGAATGCCATACATTTGCACTGAATTCCTTTTCTGTACAGAATATTGATTTGACTCTTGACTTGGAATGTTTTATGAACAGCCTTTGCTCTCCATAGAAAATTTATGAATATAAAATAACTATACATAAAACATATGGCATACAGTTATAAATTTTGCATAGTTTTTGCCATGTCAACAAGAGTACTCAATAATCACGGAATATTGGGCAAAAACATCACTACTGACTTTGATACAAGACAATGTTTATAAATAATAGATCCACTCTGTAAAATAAAAGTAATATTTTATTTCATAAAACATCAGTTTCCATGAATATAGGTCACAATCTGATCAGCTACGTCATGGTATGCCATGGTACTTCAAACTTAATACATGTAATTATTGTATATAACATGAATTTTAAAAATAGAAAAAAAATTTCAAGAAAACGATTTTGAGATTTTCTCATAGTCCCCCTTTTTTGGAGGATAGGAAAAAAAATAATAAGAAAATATAAACTTTGAAAAAAAAGTGATAGAGACAATCCTGCTTTTTACTTAAGTAGAACCATAAACAATTGATACTTTTATAATGAAAATGAACTTCAAAGCAATTTCTTCACATCTCAAAAGTTTCACACCTATTATAATAAGATAACCTTTTTAAAAACTTTTGACTACTTTCAAAGGTGATTTCACTACATTATAACAATACAACACCACTGTAGCTGCCTGTAAGACTGGTACACATTTGATTGTGTAAATGAAGTTAAAGTTCCAAAGAAATATTGCATAGTTTGATATCAGCATTGTGTATTGTATAGTAAATCGGCTTTTAGCTATCCAAGAACACAAAACTGTGATAACTCTAGTTAAAGGGAAATAACTCCTACAGAATTTTAGGTATTTTGGTCAACAGGAAGAAATAAAATGGACAGAAGCATACACTGCTTTCCAAAATGTCTCGAATTGTTATTTTAGAGTGTATATATGTAATAATGGAATATATGCTTTCAAAATTCATTGTCTCCATGAAAGAATTTGGAGAATAGAGTGTGCAACTAATTTTCTGAAATGTTCCAAAAAACTAAAAAAAGGGTGTTTTTTTGTTTGATAATTTGTCACTAGAAATTACCTTAATAACAAAGTTTCATTGAAAAATATCTTTCTCCAATGAAAAAATTCTCAGGAATTATTGAAATTTCTTTAAAAGATATATAATATCACCAAAATATATTATAGGATTTCTATCTTTCAACAAACCAATACATTGCAAATAAAAAATAAGAGTTTTACTTTATTAAATACAAAATGCCAGACTTAACTTTTAAAATCATGTTTTATTAAATTTAGAAGATTTGAAAAAATGTCGAAGTTTTTTTGGAGGGCTGTGTATGGGACTGTCTCGTTTAAAGATGATTTAAATATCTTTGATAGCTAAAAAAAAAAGTGATTATTCTGTATGTTTTATGACACTTCATATTTTTTTTTGTTTACAGGAGGCGGCTCCTGAGAAAAAGGTGATGACTGTCTACTACAAACCTATTCCCCAGGATGACCTTTCTCCCCCTGTCTCACCCAACTCTAGCTGCCTCAGGTTTTCCCGCTTCAGATTGGCTACATTCTTAGTGGTAGCAGCATTGGCAGTTCTGTTTGTGACACTTTCGTGCCTGAATGGAGGCTGGGACTTCCGAGGTAGTGTGTGCCTCACACCTACAGACTCTGCGCTAGTTCACAATGTTGTGACTACCCACAGTCCCTTGGCACGCCAGGTACTTCCACATTGTATCATCATTGGGGTGAGGAAGGCTGGTACAAGGGCCGTTCTGCAGTACCTACAGCTTCACCCAGATGTTGCCGTCGCCGGGTATGAGGTGCATTTCTTCGACGATAATGTCAACTATAGTCAGGGATTGGATTTCTACCGCAGACAGATGCCCTACTCTCTGAAACATCAGCTTACTATTGAGAAGACACCAGCTTATTTTCATACCCTAAGAGTTCCTGAGAGAATTGCCAAGATGAATAATTCCATTAAGTTAATCTTAGTGGTCCGGGAGCCAGTGCAGAGGCTCATCTCAAGTTACGTACAGCTTGCATCAAAAAAAGACTATTTTCCGACTTTTGAAGAAAAAGTTATTGATCCGGACACAGACGGAGTGAATGAAAATTTCAAACCAGTTAAACGATCACTTTATTATATTTTCATGAATCGATGGCTTAAACACTTCCAACTAAATCAGATTCATATCGTGGATGGGGATTTACTGATCCGTGATCCTTTTCAGGAAATCTATAATGTTGAAACCTTTCTTGGTTTGGAGCATAAAATTTCAAAAGACACCTTTACTTTCAATCGAACTAAAGGCTTCTATTGTCTTAAACTTGATGATGAACTTGGGAAGAGGACCAAGTGTTTGTCAAAGAGTAAGGGACGCAAGCACCCTGCTGTTGACCCGGAAGTTCTAATTCAACTGCGCAATTATTACAAATCAGCCAATGATTTATTCTTTCAGCAAGTTCATCGGAGATTCAAGTGGTCTTAGCCTGCCAGAGTCTGGATATCGACACAGATCTATACTTATTTTTTCAATATGGTATAATATATATATATATATACTGAAGTTTTATTCAGTGATAATTTTTAGTTCTTAGTCACCGTGAACGCCCCCATGTTGTTGTTCATCTTAAACAATATTCTAACACACTGCTTAATTAATCTTCACCTCAACATTTTTTCGTTGAATTCAGTGAGTAAAAGAGTAAGGTAAATTCTAGCACCTGCCTGATTTATGTGTAAATTACGTTGTTATGTATGTTTTCAGCAGAATGTCAAAACACAGTTATTTCATTTTTCCTTTTTTGTTTCTAAAGAATAAATGAGATAAATTTTTAGTCTAACTTTTTACATCAAAGCCATTTTTAATGTTGTTTTACTTAATGTTGCATGTTTACCTAACTGTATGGAATCAAATATCATTGAATTTTAGGTGTTGGTGAAATGTAGAACAACGAGGGATGTGTTCTCATTTTCCCCTGAATGAGGGTACTATACACCCCAGATGGATGAAATTTAAGACACTTTTCAAGCACTGTCCTATATTTCTATATGGATACATTGTTAGGGGAACACTTTGACTGTATCTCCAGATTCAAAATGCAAGGGAAGAACATTGATGATCTGTTTCAAACATTATACCAAAACTTTTCAGAGAAGGAAGAAAGTTACGTGGTACAGATAGGACCAGTGAGGTAGTTAGGTAACAGTGTTCCCTACCTATGGAGGACAGGTTTGGTACAGATAGGACCAGTGAGGTAGTTAGGTAACAGTGTTCCCTACCTATGGAGGACAGGTTTGGTACAGATAGGACCAGTGAGGTAGTTAGGTAACAGTGTTCCCTACCTATGGAGGACAGGTTTGGTACAGATAGGACCAGTGAGGTAGTTAGGTATCAGTGTACCCTACCTATGGAGGACAGGTTTGGTACAGATAGGACCAGTGAGGTAGTTAGGTAACAGTGTTCCCTACCTATGGAGGACAGGTTTGGTACAGATAGGACCAGTGAGGTTGTTGAATAACAGTATTCCCTACCTATGGGTTCAGTTTTGTGCATGCCTTCTGTCTTATATATAAATATATATAATATTGTATAATGCTATCATTCTATGTAAATTAAACTTGGATGGATAACAGTTAATCTGTTTGGAATATCTTCCTCAAAACTCCCCTCCCACTTCCTCCCCACAGCCTCTTTATGCATTTTCCACCTTTTTTGGGGGATTACATTTTTCATCCTCCCCACACAGTCACCTCTACATTACTAAAATGACTTCATCTCTTTGGGAATGGATGCAATTTTAATGAAAATGTACTCTTAGAAATACCACAGAGCTTATATTTTCGAGGTTCAAAGGTCAAGGGCAACATTACAATTTATGAAAAATGATATGAAACACACATGTTCTCCACAATACTGTAACATAGAAGATGACATACTGTAACAATCGATGTTTTGTAGGTAACATGTGGTAACAATTATTGTAGGTTGTACGATAATGTAAATATATATTTAACCCTTGCTCAAATGTTTTAGTAATCTTTATACTTAACTATAGCTTAAACATTTTCAAAAGTACTGTGCAGGTCTTTATGAAGTTTGTAAAATCAAAGAACAACCTGTCATTTTAAATATTGAAGTATGCGATTGTTTTTTTGTTTTTTTTTGTCAGTTAGAAAGTCAAAATAAAGTTTGTGACATTGAAGGCAAACCTGTCATTTTAATTTTTAGACACATGTTCATATTTTTCTACAAGAACTACAAGTTAAAATGTGCCATTTAACATTTAGACATTGTTTTGGTTTTGGTCTATAAAGAATATATGTTTATTACACTGTCCTATAAAATGTTTAATGCTGATTCACAGGTTGTTTTTTTAACATAGTGTTAGTGCTAGCTACATTTATCACTGGTGCTTGGTTATATGTGTATAAAGGTTTAATATATTTTCTGCTTTTTTGTAAAATGAAAACTTTGAAATGTTTGACATTGATTTGAATGTATTTCAGACTAGTTATTTGTTTTGAAATAACTGTTTCTGAGCTTGATAGATGACTTAAATCCTTGTTTTGTGTTCTGTAAGGGTTTCACCATATCAACAAATACTTCTCAACTATACTATTAAAAAAAAAAAAAAAAGTTAATTTCTTCAACTTTTTTTTTTTTTTTTAAATATATGACACCATTTAATTTCAGTATTGTCTATCTAGTTTTAATTCTACTAAGCCTGAAGCATTATAACCTGGCATAGTTATCGAGGGTCATGTTGATATGGTGGCACCACTTTGACAACTACAGGGTGATATTGTTTTATATGTACTGGTTAGTGAAGGACATACCGGTTACTAGGAAGGGTTTCTATACAGGCAGCAGTTCCTTAAGATTTACTTTTCTAAATATTTTATGTACTATGTACATCAATAACATGAGCTTTCATTAGTATTATACCTACCCATGCTATTGTATAATAGGTGTACCTGGTCCATGTTATCACTATGCCAAAAATTGCTTGCCGGTGTATTTTGGCAACCTTACTACATGTATCCCTTGTGTAAATAAAAGTACCAAGCTATATTTTGTCATTGCAGCTAATCAGTGTATTCCATGGTGTGATCTGCAAAGAATATTTTTGTGGAAATAAGGTGAAATATTAATACTGTCTGATGGAATGGTTTATGAATTATTCCATTTTTTTTTTTTTTTACAAAAGATATTGAGTTATAGGAAAACTTTAAAATTACTTGTCACCTTAATTACATACCTCGGCGTCAATGTATTGAAGCAAGTGTGTTTTAACACTTGCCACACCCCCCCCCCCCCCACCCCCACCCCCCTTTTCAGGATCTTGTTTTGTTGACAATTATGTCAGTTGGTGTTTGTATGCAAAAAATATTACTGTAACAACACTTTGTTGCCATTATTTTACAAATGGTTTGACAGTTTTACAGGGTCATGTGATAGTTTTACAGGGTCATGTGACAGTTTTATAGGGTCATGTGACAGTTTCAAAGAGTCATGTGATCACTCTTATACATTGGCTTTTACAGGGTAGTCTTGATTGTTCTGGCCGCTCACAGCTTGGATGCTGTGAATTAGAGCCCAGATATGTTTTTAGCAAATTACATTTTTCAAAGACAATATTGCTCCAGAATACTCGATACTCAAATTTTACATACTCACTGATTTGTGTCAGAATACTCGACACTCAGATGCCACAATACCTTCACCCTGACTTGTGTCAGAAATTGTCAATTGTTTACTAACGTCATACTCACCACAATCAGAAGTTATGTAGTAATGTATATTATTGAAAATGTATTTGCCTCAGCCAATATTGTCATCTGTGAATTTAATTGTGATACCCCTTAATTCTATATTTTCTCCAGTTCATTGATCATATTTAGTTATCACTGATTAGTTAGATCAAGTGAGTATTGTCAGTCAGATCAAGTTAGCTATGATTGGTCAGAACAAGTTAGCAATGATTGGTCAGAACAAGTTAGCAATGATTGGTCAAAACAAGTTAGCAATGATTGGTCAAAACAAGTTAGCAATGATTGGTCAGAACAAGTTAGCAATGATTGGTCAGATCAAGTTAGCAATGATTGGTCAAAACAAGTTATCAATGACTGGTCAGAATAAGTTAGCAATGATTGGTCAAAACAAGTTAGCTATGATTGGTCTGAATAAGTTTGCAATGATTGGTCAAAACAACTTAGCAATGATTATGAAGACTTAGTTAGGAAGAGGATGTGATTGAAATGACATCTCTCAAGATGAAGTCTCAGTTTCACTGTAATTACAGGGAAATACCAGTACATCATCTTCTCACATGAAATCAAAGTTACATCATATATTGAATATTATTTTATTTATATAATGGTAAATGTATCGAAATAAGTCTATTCCTTTATTTGCTGAAATGTTTTTTTGCACATGATATATCAATGTAACATTTACTGACAGAGTTTAACTGTTTTCAGGATTGTAAAACATATTGTCTGATGGAGAAAGTTATAAAATGTATTGAGATTTATTATTTTTGTAGAAGAATCAAAAGTAAATTGACTAGTCAGTGTATCTGTTGTGTACAACTTCCATGATCTGTAAACTAACATTGTTAAGGGAGATCTGCTGTAATTCACATTAGTTATTTATCATGATTATAAATGTAAACCTCAATAGTGGTTTAGTACTTTTTAGGTCTGTTTAGCCAAAAGTTTATGTGATCTTTTGACCTCTGATCTTTGTCAAAGGTTAACATGATGTGTTGACCTTTGATCTTTGTCAAAGGTTCAAAGGTTAACATGACCTGTTGACATGATTTTTGTCTAAGATTAACATGATCATGTGACCTCCGTCACTTTGTTAAATCTTTCATCATTTCACATTCTGATTTCTCAAAAAAAAAAAAAAAAAAGGTTGTCCTGAATTGGTCTGAAGTTTGTTTGGAAGGGATGCTAAGTTGATTTGGATAAAATAAGTTGTATGATCACAGCTGGTTAAAAATAGAAATATTTACTGCCTGGTATTTCATTCCCCAATGGTAATCTTTTGTGTCAGCCATTTTGATTTGTGCCTGAACTATTACTTGGTAAATATGTGTATATTATAGAGTTCCACAATACACCAAAGTCATGCACCCAAACTGATTTAAGGACAATTGATATTCTCTGTCTGTGGTGTGGGCACATCCATGGGCCTCTTGCACCAACATTGAATTTCTTCTTATAAGCTGTATCTGTGTTTCCAATTTTTTCTATCCTTTCATGTACTGAATTGCAACATTCATCTGTTAACCATTTAGGTGTGCTGTCGATCTCTTAGTAATCAACCTTTTTCTTTTCTGTAATTTATTTGTAAGGATATTTTTTTTACTATGCTTTTAATTTAAAATTACCTGTGAAATGCTATAGATATTACTGGCATGACCAATAGCTGATCTGATGCAAGTCTGTAACTTGTATCAGTTGTGAACGGGTAAACAGTTTTACCTTCATTCATTTGGTTTATTGATGTATGAACTTGTCAGCTGACCACAGTATATGTATGTAGCTGTGGTTCATGACGGTATGAACTTGTCAGCTGACTACAGTATATGTACATAGCTGTGGTTCATGATGGTATGAACCTGTCAGCTGACCACAGTATATGTATGTAGCTGTGGTTCATGACGGTATGAACCTGTCAGCTGACCACAGTATATGTATGTAGCTGTGGTTCATGGTGGCATGAACCTGTCAAGTGACCAAAGTATATATGTATGAAGATGTGGTTCATGGTGTCATGAACCTGTTAAGTTACCAAAGTATATATGTATGTACCTGTGGTTCATGATGTCATGAACATAGTATATGCATGTATCTGTGGTTCATGGAGGTATGAACATGTCAAGTGGCCACAGTATATGTATATATTTTGCAGCTGTGGTGACCATAGTATATGTATGTAGCTGTGGTTCATGGAGGTATGAACCTGTCCGATGACCATAGGATATGTATGTAGCTGTGGTTCATGATGTCATGAACCTGTCAAGTAACCATAGTATATGTATGTAGCTGTGGTTCATGGAGGTATGAACCTGTCAAGTGGCCACAGTATATTTATATATTTTGCAGCTGTGGTGACCTTAGTATATGCATGTAGCTGTGGTTCATGATGTCATGAACCTGTCAAGTGACCATAGTATATGTATGTAGCTGTGGTTCATGGAGGTATGAACCTGTCTGATGACCATAGTATATGTACATGTATGCAGATAAAAGTTACTCTCTAAGCTGGTTTACATTTACTCTTATGTATGTGAATTACACACCTTGTGAATGTGAATATGTATTTGAAATAAACCATTTTTCTCAGCCTTGTTTTATTGTTAAGTTAGTAAACTGAAAACTTAAAATCTGAAAATTTGAGCATTGAATACGAGCACTTTGTAAAGAAACAACTCAGAACAAACATGCATTTTTTACATTATTTGCGATGCAATAATGATGCCAAGATCATATTCTGTCTTAAAAATCATTCAGACCAAGAAATCGTCTCTAATGAAGAGATGTATCAATGTCTGATAATTTCAATTACGTGTAACAGCTACACATATTGCCCAAAGACCTGCAGGCCTGAAGGTTATCTCAAGCAAGCAAATTTTGTAAGGAGGCAATATGGGCCCGGGTTTTAGACTTAAGTGCCCTTGGAAAGTTAAATTATGACACAGAAATCTTTGTCCAAAACTGTCGTCTAAGTTCAACAGAGACCAACGTTTTTTCAACAATACTTTTGTATCTTGTAACACAAAAATAACAAGACAAACATATATTACATTTAATTATTCATTAAATTAAAATATATTTGAAAAATAAAAAAAGAGATCAGAGAGGGATCTTGGTGCTCGCCATCACACAGTCTGTACTAGGTCTTAGTCTGATCTTTTATCCCCTTATTTTCTATGAACACTGAACATATACAGGAAGGCATGAAGGGAAACCTGCATTACTATGCAGACAAATAGTCCTCCAGTACTTCAAGAAATGGCAATAACAAACTGTCTAATTGGCAACCTGTCGTCCTCCTTTTTCTCTCCCTCTCGAAAAAGGAAAATGAATCAGGAATTATGGGGAACCTAGATATGAAATTTGAGGATGATCCAACTAGTAGTGAGTGGATCTCCACAAAATAGCAATATCAATCCACTACTCGCAAAATGCGCATTGGTCGTCTGTCGGGCATTTTGTTTTTCTGGTCAGTCCAAAAATGGACATCCAGGATGGCCATCTGTCGGGTCATTTTATTTTTTTGGTCAGTTCCAAAATGGACAATGTGCAACTAATGACAAAGAGCAACCTACAAATGAATTTGAGAATGATCTTTCAGTACTTCTGCAGAAATAGTGATAAAAAAAACCCAACTATTACTATACTACCAAAATACAAGATGGCTGCCTGTTGGCCATTTTGTTTTCCAATCAGTCCTAAACAGACAATGCACTACTAAGGAAAAAGTAGATTTTGGCACTTCTCCAGATATAGCGATAAAAAGTATCATTCTAGGACAGACTGATAAAGGTGATTCAAATATCCCATCCAAATAAACTGATCCCTCTTTTTCCTTCCAAGATAAATATCCCATATGTGTAATCACTTTTTGTATACAAATATCGGTGCAATCATTGACATCTGGCAGCTTACCAGGTCAACAATAAGTAAGTGTTTTCACAATGTCTGAAACATACACATAAAATCAATACATGCAATCATCTGTGACAAGCATTCATATCTCACAACAATAGAAAAATATTTGTATTTAGATACAAAACAAACATATCTCGGTGTACTCAGAGCTCATCAGTAGCTCCCCCAGTTACAAAAATTTATACATTAGCTGTTTTATGTAACAAAGTGAATCTAACATGGCAGTGAATAACAGATTACTTCACATATTTCTGACAGTAACATCGTACACTGATTACAATATACTGTATTTCTGACAGTTAATAACAACACAGCTCACAATATATCATATTCCTGACAGAGAGTAACAACAGATTAATATATATTGTATTTCTGACAGTAACATCGCACACTGATTACAATATACTGTATTTCTGACAGTTAATAACAACACAGCTTACAATATATCATATATCTGACAGAGAGTAACCACAGATTAATATGTCTTGTATTTCTGACAGTAACAACACAGCTTACTATATATTGTACACAGCTTACAATATATATATCATATTTTTGTGTTGCCTGCAGAGCTGGCGGACACTTTATGGATCACTGCATCGGCGGCGTCCGTACCAAAGTTTTCTGCTGTCTGTAACCTTTCTTGGCAGAGTTATGCCCCTTTGAACTTAGAACATTCCCTGAGAATATTGTTCTTTGGATTTTCTTTGGTTTATGCTTTGAGTTATAGAAATGACATTTAGTATATGGCTTCTTGTTAGAAGGGTACAGATTAGTTTTGACATCCAGTTTGATTTCTGGGTGACCGTGACACTTAATGCAGGCGACACATACAGTTCCGAGGAATTCTTGTTGATAGTAACAACACGGCTTACTATATATTGTACACAGCTTACAATATATATCATATTTTTGACAGTAACAACACGGCTTACTATATATTGTACACAGCTTATAGTATATATCATATTTTTGACAGTAAATAATCCAGCTTACTATTTATTGTATTTCTGACAGTGAAAAACAACACAGGATACTATATATTATACACAGCTTACTAAATACTGTATATCTGACAGTAAATAATCCAGCTTACTATTTATTGTATTTTTGACAGTGAAAAACAACACATGTTACTATATATTATACACAGCTCACTAAATACCGTATTTCTGACAGTAAAATCTCCAGCTTACTATATATTGTATTCCGTCCATGAATAATAGCACTACATTGTATTTAGACATATAACCTTACCATTCATTTACCTATGACATTAGTGATACAAAGATATATCATAGATAATGATATTGTTGTGTAATATAAAAAGTATGAAAAACACCCTGCCTCTGGTGGGTTCAAACTAGTGATCCTTCGGTCACACTCTATACTTAACTGGAAATTTCCACTACCCAAGGCTAGTAAGACGACTTCTATAGTAAAAATGTTACAGATGCCACCACTGACATCACATATACAATAAGTCTCAAACGTGACGATCACCAAACAACACACCTCACTGGTCCTGACCCATACTGACAAAGTCAAACTTCCATGTAGTAAACAGTCAATGTTTAAACAAACACAGACAATATTAAGATAGGAACAGGAATCCTGTAAACTTAAACCCTGTGAGACTTGAACTAAATGGGACTTCATTACAAACTAGATCAAAACTTGTTACACTCAAATTGGATTTCAATGAAAAAAATGTTAAATACTGGTAGGTTTGGAGATTTTACTCTACAGAATATACTCTTATTATGCTATGCTCAAAATTGATTGTAAAAATTGTCATTTGTCACAACATTTTGATTAAGGAACTGAAATATCACTTCGTTATTGACAAAAATTACCAATGGATTTACTGTTGATAACTAAAGTCTATTCTGGTGTGAACAATATATCAGTGCCTACAAACTGAGTTCCCTGTACACAGGATGTGTTAACAGTCTAGCAGTAGGACGTAAGGTTGATGATAGAAGGGTCCCTAGTTTGATACCCAGTAGATACTGTGTTGTATGCTTGGACAAGATGCTTTCTTCCAGTGTATTCAGCGGTGAGTGAATTATAAGGCAGCGCTGGAAGTGGAGGCTGCAAGCTGCTAACACTGTATGCCAGCTCTCGCTGTACACCCTACAGTACTCACAAGCGTGTTTTTGAAAAAAGGTTTTAATTTGTAGCAAAAGGCCCATAATCATGGATTATAGTTTCTGAACCAATTTCAGACAGTGATATTGTTGTGGTGAAGTGGTATATAAAAATGTCAGATATTATAAAAATCACCCTTCAAATGTTACAAAGAAGGCATTTTTGAACACATGGTTACAAATCAGATTACTTGAATCTTCGTGTCAAAAATTAAAGTATTTTTATTTTTCACTGAAAAACACTTTTAAGACAATATACAGCAATCATATTCACTAAGCTTCATAATTAACATTTCTAATGTGAAATGCCATATAACAAGGATATTATTCACACAAAATCTATTTATGGCACTCATTTTAAAACTTTCAATTCAATCATACATTTTCGAAGGGTACAATTTTCGTGGTTTTTAAGAAAATTTTGTGGATGAATGTATCTCATTAAATCTATGTACACTAAATTGAACTAATTGTGTACATATGAATTCCCGGATAATGTTCCTAAAAATAAACAAAAATAAATCCCCCACGAAAATGGCTGATTTTACAGTATATCAACAAGTGTGTATCTGTACATCACAACATTTCCAGAATAAATATCAGCGACAAGCAAGAAATGGCAATTATAAAATGATTAATAAAAAATATTCTAAATATTAGTACACTTCATATTTCAGCAAATTTTATAGAATGACAAAATCACAAAATGCTTGTTTAAAAAACTGTTTGATTAATTCATGAAAGTTCATCAGAACTGCTGTGATTGTTCGATACTATTCCACTAACATTCTCACTGTGGTGGTACCATTCAAAACATCCTTCAACATAGTATATAGTAAGACAGGATTTACCGTTCATTATCAACTAACAGTAACATTGTTCACAGTGACTAAGACACAGTAAAATGGACACATGGACAAGCATTATTGGAAACAGCTGATGACGGTAAAGGTTTTAATTCACTAAAGAGGGAATGTAACACATTATAACTAATAAAGAATGTATCACCATCAGTAGTTTTATGTTCATTCATGAAGAATTGTTCACATGTACAGGAAATTATTCAGGATACAAAGAATTGTTCACTCAAATTGGAAATTATTCTTGATACAAGAATTGTCCATTCGTACAAGAAATTATACAACATAGATACTAAGATAGAGCCAATGCAGTGCTTTTTAAGACAAGTTCATTAAGTTCCTTAAATCCCTTGCTTGGATACCCACCAGTACGCAGGGCGATTGAAGTAAAGGGGCCAACCAAGAAATAAAGAGCAATTAAAAGAGGAAACCGTACAAGATGTAAATAATTGTTCAAGCATACAGGAAATTGTTCTGGATACAAAGAATGGTTCAAGCATACAGGAAATAGTTCTGGATACAAAGAATGGTTCAAGCATACAGGAAATAGTTCTGGATACAAAGAATGGTTCAAGCATACAGGAAATTGTTCTGGATACACAGAATGGTTCAAGCATACAGGAAATTATTCTGGATACACAGAATGGTTCAAGCATACAGGAAATAGTTCTGGATACAAAGAATGGTTCAAGCACACAGGAAATAGTTCTGGATACAAAGAATGGTTCACATGCACAGGAAATTGTTCTGGATACAAAGAATGGTTCACATGCACAGGAAATTGTTCTGGATACAAAGAATGGTTCACATGCACAGGAAATTGTTCTGGGTACAAAGAATGGTTCAAGCATACAGGAAATTATTCTGGATACAAAGAATGGTTCAAGTATACAGGAAATTGTTCTGGATACAAAGAATGGTTCAAGCATACAGGAAATTATTCTGGATACAAAGAATGGTTCACATGTACAGGAAATAGTTCTGGATACAAAGAATGGTTCAAGCATACAGGAAATTATTCTGGATACAAAAAATGTTCACATGTACAGGAAATTCTTCAGGATTAATACATTAGGTGATGATACAAAGAAAGCATCACCTTCTCTCTATTTCTGGCTTATATCACATCTTGGCAGTATAAAATATCTCCATAAACTCCCTACTTGTACTGATAAAAAGTACTAGCTCCTACACAACAATACATACATTTTAAACACACTCAACAAAGCCTTTATTGTTCGATATTGACACTTATATATATCTTACCTATATAACAACAACTGTTTGTATCAACAAAATAAAACTGAAACAAGTTTTATGTTATTAATCATCACCTGCATTCCCTTGTATAATGTAACAATCAGATGAAGATCATCAGTGGGAACTCAGTGAGGTAAAAATCATCATTCTCTAACAAGTATTATGCATAGTAATCAATCACAGCACTGGTAAAAATACCATAAAATATTTAAATGGACTTTTACAATAGATATCATAGTGTTATGTGGACCTATAACAGTAGATATTATATAGTGTTATGTGGACCTATAACAGTAGATATTATATAGTGTTATGTGGACCTATAACAGTAGATATTATATAGTGGACCTATAACAGTAGATATTATATAGTGTTATGTGGACCTATAACAGTAGATATTATATAGTGTTATGTGGACCTATAACAGTAGATATTATATAGTGGACCTATAACAGTAGATATTATATAGTGTTATGTGGACCTATAACAGTAGATATTATATAGTGTTATGTGGACCTATAACAGTAGATATTATATAGTGGACCTATAACAGTAGATATTATATAGTGTTATGTGGACCTATAACAGTATATATTATATAGTGTTATGTGGACCTATAACAGTAGATATTATATAGTGGACCTATAACAGTATATATTATATAGTGTTATGTGGACCTATAACAGTAGATATTATAAAGTGGACCTATAACAGTATATATTATATAGTGTTATGTGGACCTATAACAGTAGATATTATATAGTGTTATGTGGACCTATAACAGTAGATATTATACAGTGGACCTATAACAGTAGATATTATATAGCGTTATGTGGACCTATAACAGTAGATATTATATAGTGTTATGTGGACCTATAACAGTAGATATTATATAGCGTTATGTGGACCTATAACAGTAGATATTATACAGAATTATGTGGACCTATAACAGTAGATATTATATACAGTTATGTGGACCTATAACAGTAGATATTATATAGTGGACCTATAACAGTAGATATTATATAGTGTTATGTGGACCTATAACAGTAGATATTATATAGTGTTACGTGGACCTATAACAGTAGATATTATACAGAATTATGTGGACCTATAACAGTAGATATTATATAGTGGACCTATAACAGTAGATATTATACAGTGTTATGTGGACCTATAACAGTATATATTATATAGTGTTATGTGGACCTATAACAGTAGATATTATACAGAGTTATGTGGACCTATAACAGTATATATTATATAGTGTTATGTGGACCTATAACAGTATATATTATATAGTGTTATGTGGACCTATAACAGTAGATATTATACAGAGTTATGTGGACCTATAACAGTAGATATTATATAGTGGACCTATAACAGTAGATATTATATAGTGTTATGTGGACCTTTAACAGTAGATATTATATAGTGGACCTATAACAGTATATATTATATAGTGTTATGTGGACCTATAACAGTAGATATTATATAGTGTTATGTGGACCTATAACAGTAGATATTATACAGAGTTATGTGGACCTATAACAGTAGATGTTATATAGAGTTATGTGGACCTATAACAGTAGATATTATATAACAAGAGATAGAGGGTTAATATGTAGGATAACTGTAGGAATACCAGAGGTATCTATTCCCATTAAACCTATCTAGAAATAAACAAATAAAAAAGAACACAAAGAAAATATACATTGAGAAGAATAAATAAATCAATAAGTAAAAAAAACACTACATTTCCATTTTAAATGGAAATAACCATTAACATGACCCACTAAAAATAAAATGAAAATTGATTTAAGAAACATGGTATTAGTTGATCAACCACTTGGATCCCATTAACTATTAAATAGTAAATTTGATTCATCCCTGGTATCCACTATCTGCAAAAAAAAAATTTACATTATAAATATAATTTTGGTCTATTGCTGCAAACATATGTATTGATATCTAGCTACATTAAACACAAAAATATCAAAAGTGTTTTATACAGATGCCATCACCGATGCACCAATTTACTTTGACAAAGAAATATTTTCGCCAGCTGTATACCTTGACATCAGAAGATATTTGATGTCTATATTTTACTTTGGTATCAGAAAATATTTGGTTCTAATATTTGAAACCAACCATATACTCTGACCTCCAAAAATAGGTCATGTTATCTATATGTCATAACATCAGAACATAATTGATACCAACAATAAACTTTGACAATAGAAGATATTTCATACATCCATATACCTTGACATCACAAAATATTTGATACCAACAGTATATATTTACTTTAGAATATTTCCAATATCAAAATAAACTGAATGCCAACTTTTGTGATTTCTTTTGCATCATAACAAGTTCATGGCCGTTAACTTTGATTAAGTAAGCTATACTGCACTCTGCTTTTAATCATTCATCATCCGTACTTAATTCATGGCAAATTCATTTCTATCACAATATTCAGGAAAAGAGTCACATGTGAAAGAATGCTGCTTTACAGTACAATCAAACTGTAGATAATAGCAATCATACAATGTTCAATGTTCAGTTTTGATCAATACCTGTAAAAATAAAAGGGTTGATACTTTAAACTGAAACCAATAAACTTACAAGCTATAGACATACATTAAGGCTCTAAGTGGCCAGTACATTGACCATATAACTACTTGGCAAAAACAGCTATAAGAATAAATAATAGCGATAATGAAAAGGGGGAGGTAATATCTGTTGTTAAAACAGGAAGGTAATAATTGATGTTAAGAAGGGGAGGTACAGATTGGTGTTAAAAAGATGAGATAATGATTGCTAATAAAAGGGGAGGTAATGATTGGTGATAAAATGGGGAGGTAATGATTGGAGTAAAAAAAGGGGAGATAATGATAGGTGATAAAAAGGGGAGCTAATGATTGGAGTAAAAAAAGGGGAGATAATGATAAGTGATTAAAAGGGAAGATCATGATTGGAGTAAAAAAGGGGAGATAATGATAGATGATAAAAAGGGGAGCTAATGATTGGAGTTAAAAAAGGGGAGATAATGATAGGTGATAAAAAGGGGAGGTAATAATTGGAGTTAAAAAATGGGAGATAATGATAGGTGATAAAAAGGGGAGCTAATGATTGGAGTTATAAAAGGGGAGATAATGAAAGGTGATAAAAGGGGAGGTAATGATTGGAGATAAAAAAGGGGAGATAATGATAGGTGATAAAAAGGGGAGATAATGATTGGAGTTATAAAAGGGGACATAATGATAGGTGATAAAAAGGGGAGGTATTGATTGGAGATAAAAAGGGGAGATAATGATTTGGATAAAAAGGGAAAGTAATGATTGGAGTTATAAAAGGGGAGATAATGATAGGTGATAAAAAGGGGAGGTAATGATTGGAGATAAAAAAGGGGAGATAATGATAGGTGATAAAAAGGGGAGATAATGATTGGAGTTATAAAAGGGGACATAATGATAGGTGATAAAAAGGGGAGGTAATGATTGGAGATAAAAAGGGGAGATAATGATTTGGATAAAAAGGGAAAGTAATGATTGAGTTAAAAAAAGGGGAGATAATGATAGGTGATAAAAAGGGGAGCTAATGATTGGAGTTATAAAAGGGGAGATAATGATAGGTGATAAAAGGGGAGGTAATGATTGGAGATAAAAAGGGGAGGTAATGATTGGGATAAAAAGGGGAGGTAATGATTGAGTTAAAAAAGGGGAGATAATGATTGGTGAAGAAAAGGGGATGTAATGATAGGTGATAAAAAGGGGAGCTAATGATTGGAGTTAAATGGTTAAATGATGGTTATTATTGAAAAGAGGATTTTTAAAGAGAAGAAGAGATATTACAAGAAAATAAAATCACTGTTAAAAATAGAAATAACAACACGTTTTAAAAATAGAGATTACAACAGGAATTTAGGAGGGAAGATTACAACATGTGAGATTATCCATCCAAATACAGTATCAGAGAGATATTTAAAAAATTCCAAATTCAACTGAATCAATGGAGAGGTTAACAGGGATATAACATAACAAAGGGAGATAACTTTGTTAAACCAAAGTAAAGTAAAGTACTGACACGTGAAGGCCCCTCCTCCCCTAAACCTGTTACACTGATATTGAATTTTTGACTATTGCTTGATAGATACAAAACTTTGTTTCTGTATTATAACTATTTAATGTTTAACCTTCATATGATGAAAGAAAACTTTGACCTTGACCTTTGATCTGATGACCTTGACATGTGGTTGGTTGATTTTTCATTTGATTTCAGACTTCATTAAGTCATAACAAAATATCTGCCAGTTGAAATATTTCAAATTTGACTTTGAACTTTGATTTGTGGTAGATCATTTCTCATTTGATTTCAGTCAATTATGCTCTATTATGTAGCAAGCTAATATTTACCACTGATATCAAGATCAACATTCGGGTTTTTATATATATAGTTATGATGACTTTGACCTCTGGACATGAAAAGCAAGCACTTCCTTTGAAGAAGCATTGGAGAAAGTCTTCAGTGTTATCATCCAGACAGAATTTCAGATATTTTGCAGAAACTGATTTTCTATTTATAGTAAGCGACCTTGACCTTTGACCTCAGTATATAAAATCACTCTCACCAAAGCGCTTTTTCCAAGGGGCATTGGGTAAAACTTGGAATCAATTGCTCCACAGAACTTGAAATATCATGCCGAACAAAACAAAAAAAGGACAAACAGATATACAGGCAACCTGAGTACTGCAGGTATATGGCATCCATAACATTGATGTGCCCTAACAAACAAGTACATGCAGTGTAACCAGCATTCAGAACTAAAATCCGGCATAAAAAGCTGCGAATAAACTTTGTTTATGAAGCAGTAACCTACTACTTACCTGTAGTTTTGACTTCATTCTGTAATATATTTCATCAGTTGTTTATCGTTCTTTGAATTAAACAGCCCAACAGTAAACATAAAATAGATGAGTGACACATGATTATACATGATTATAGTCGATTTCCTTTGTTGGTAAAGTACCATAAGTGAAGGATCTCCAAACAGTACAATAAGTGTCTGGATTTCCTGCTATCACAGATGTTTATATTGCTTATAAAAGATACAGATCATCTCAACTACATTGTTTCTGATGAAAGCTTATTGGAAGCAAACTTTGATTTTTCAACATGACATCAAATTAATACATATAAACAGATATACATGACTAGATGAATCATAAACATCTTTTGTTGTTCAGCCTATACAGGGAAGTGACTGTCATACCATGTCCACCTCCGACTTTTGGCTCTCTGTTGATGTTTCCGGCCTTTTTTCACTTGGTTTCTTGAAAGTGACATAACTATAAACCAGACTTCCAGTGACGCTGCAACAAAGGAAAATAACTTTCTAATACCAGACACATCATTTCAAGCAACACGCTAGGCCTTACAGTTCCTACAATCTGAGCAGACATACAGGTCGTCTCAAATGCAACATTTACAGACATGGATTGTGACAAAGTTGCCTACCTAACCTCCACATTCTTTGTCATCAGAGAGCAATACAAGAGATCCCAGAGGGATCTTGGCGTCCACTATCATTTGATCTTTATATGCTCTTTGAAAGTTGGGATATTTTCCCTTCTTTTCTCTTCTCTGTTTTTGCTCTTAATGATAAGACATTTGAACATTCCTTTGCAGAAATAGCTATGATAATCTTTACCTGCAAAATCCAAAATGGCCACCTGGAAGCCATTTTGTTTCTTCTGATCAGTCTCAATATAATGAGAGACCAAAGGGAACATACATATGAAATTTGGTGATATCCATTCAGCACTTCTTAAGAAATAGCAATAACAATCTTTACAAGGCAAAATCCAAAATCTGGTCAGTCCCAAACTCAAATAGACACAACTAGGGACCTAAAAGCCCTATATATGAAATTTGAGACAGATCTATACAGCAGTTCTCTAGAAATAGTGATAACAATCTTTTGAAGTAAAAATATAAGATGGCTGCCTCTCGGCCATTTTGTTTTTCTGATCAGTCCCAAAATCAAATAAACACAACTAGGGACCTAAAAACCCTATATATGAAATTTAAGAAAGATCTATCCAGTACTTCTCTTAGAAATAGCAATAACAAACTTTCAAAGTCAAAATCAAAGATGGCCACCTTTCGTCTATTTTATTTTTCTGATCAGTCTCAAAATTACATAGGCACAACTAGAGACCAAGGGAAACCTACATATGAAATATGAGAGAGATCCATTCCTTACTTTTCATCTGATGATGGTTGGCTTATAAAATCTGTAATGACCTTTCTTATCTCATAAATAACCATTCCTGGACCAAATGGTTAAACCAATGTACCGTTGTGGCCAAGAATGTTCCAAATGGTTAAACCAATGTACCGTTGTGGCCAAGAATGTTCCAAATGGTTAAACCAATGTACCGTTGTGGCCAAGAATGTTCCAAATGGTTAAACCAATGTACCGTTGTGGCCAAGAATGTTCCAAATGGTCAAACCAATGTACTGTTGTGGCCAAGAATGGTCCAAATGGTCAAACCAATGTATTGTAGTGACCTATGTCCTTAACAGATTACATCATCATTTATAATTGAACCTTGAACAGTACAATATTCACACTTACCTAATGTTCATTCCAGTAAAGTTGATGATGCTGAATATGTAATCACCTCCCAGAAACATGCCTATATACGTCACTAAGAGATTCTGTAGACAAAGATTTACTTACGTCAATACATTGTAAATATTCATCAATATATTGATATAAAAATTTACATAGTCAATACAATGTTAACATCTATAGAGTTCATACAATATAGATATTTATAGATTCAATATAATACAAATATTTATAATAGATTCAAAACAATACAAATATTTATAGATTCAATACAATATAAATATTTATAGTTTCAAAACAATATAAATATTTATAGATTCAAAACAATATAAATATTTATAGATTCAAAACAATACAAATATTTATAGATTCAAAACAATACAAATATTTATAGATTCAATACAATATAAATATTTATAGATTCAAAACAATATGAATATTTATAGATTCAAAACAATACAAATATTTATAGATTCAATACAATATAAATGTTTCTATCTAGGTTCCATAAAGTATAAACATTTGAAGAGTTTATACAATATAAATATAAATAAGTAAATACGACATTGAAACATTCTTTCAGATGTCAGGGTGTAGGATGGGATATTCCACTCGAGAGGTCACAAAATGTTGTCAGACCTCAGGCTTTGCTCAAGGTTTCACAACATTTTGTGATGTTGAGGTAGAAATATCTAATCCTACACTCTGATATATGAAAAATATTTTTTCGCATTTCTCGTCAAAATATTAACGTTGACAATGTACATGTACTTCCAAGGACACCATTTTACATGAAAATCATATTTAAACATAAAATTGACACAGAAAATGAATTTTCTGAACTACAGTTTGGCAAACAAAGTTTTCTCTTGAAAATCATAACAAAGTATTAACAGTCACTGCAAATAACTATTTGTACACGTGTGTATACATTGTATTGGGGCGCGACGTCAGTTGGGAAGAGACATTTTACCTATATAACACTATGGTGGTGGTTAGGATAGTAAACCTGGGTGTACTTTACCTATATAACACTATGGTAGTGGTTAGGACAGTAACACTTTACCTATATAACACTATGGTGGTTAGGACAGTAAACCTGGGTGTACTTTGTTATATAACACAATGGTGATGGTTAGGACAGTAAACCTTGGTGTACTTTACCTATATAACACTATGTGGTGGTAAGGACAGTAAATCTGGATGTACTTTACCTATATAACACTATGTAGTGGTTAGGACAGTAAACCTGGGTGTACTTTACCTATAAAACACTATGGTGGTGGTTAGGACAGTAAACCGGGGTGTACTTTACCTATATAACACTATGGTGGTGGTTAGGACAATAAACCTGGGTGTACTTTACCTATATAACACTATGGTGGTGGTTAGGACAGTAAACCTGGGTGTACTTAACCTATATAACACTATGGTGGTGGTTAGGACAGTAACACTTTACCTATATAACACTATGGTGGTTAGGACAGTAAACCTGGGTTTACTTTATTATATAACACAATGGTGATGGTTAGGACAGTAAACCTGGATGTACTTTACCTATATAACACTATGGTGGTGGTTAGGACAGTAAACCTGGGTGTACTTTACCTATATAACACTATGGTGGTGGTTAGGACAGTAAACCTGGGTATACTTTACCTATATAACACTATGGTGGTTGTTAGGACAGTAAACCTGGATGTACTTTACCTATATAACACTATGGTGGTTAGGACAGTAAACCTGGGTGTACTTTACCTATATAACACTATAGTGGTGGTTAGGACAGTAAACCTAGGTGTACTTTACCTATATAACACTATGGTGGTTAGGACAGTAAACCTGGGTGTACTTTACCTATATAACACTATAGTGGTGGTTAGGACAGTAAACCTAGGTGTACTTTACCTATATAACACTATGGTGGTTAGGACAGTAAACCTGGGTGTACTTTACCTATATAACACTATAGTGGTGGTTAGGACAGTAAACCTAGGTGTACTTTACCTATATAACACTATGGTGGTTAGGACAGTAAACCGGGGTGTACTTTACCTATATAACACTATGGTGGTGGTTAGGACAATAAACCTGGGTGTACTTTACCTATATAACACTATGGTGGTGGTTAGGACAGTAAACCTGGGTGTACTTAACCTATATAACACTATGGTGGTGGTTAGGACAGTAACACTTTACCTATATAACACTATGGTGGTTAGGACAGTAAACCTGGGTTTACTTTATTATATAACACAATGGTGATGGTTAGGACAGTAAACCTGGATGTACTTTACCTATATAACACTATGGTGGTGGTTAGGACAGTAAACCTGGGTGTACTTTACCTATATAACACTATGGTGGTGGTTAGGACAGTAAACCTGGGTATACTTTACCTATATAACACTATGGTGGTGGTTAGGACAGTAAACCTGGATGTACTTTACCTATATAACACTATGGTGGTTAGGACAGTAAACCTGGGTGTACTTTACCTATATAACACTATAGTGGTGGTTAGGACAGTAAACCTAGGTGTACTTTACCTATATAACACTATGGTGGTTAGGACAGTAAACCTGGGTGTACTTTACCTATATAACACTATAGTGGTGGTTAGGACAGTAAACCTAGGTGTACTTTACCTATATAACACTATGGTGGTTAGGACAGTAAACCTGGGTGTACTTTACCTATATAACACTATGGTGGTTAGGACAGTAAACCTGGGTGTACTTTACCTATATAACACTATGGTGGTTAGGACAGTAAACCTGGGTGTACTTTACCTATATAACACTATAGTGGTTAGGACAGTAAACCTGGGTGTACTTTACCTATATAACACTATGGTGGTGGTTAGGACAGTAAACCTGGGTGTACTTTACCTATATAACACTATGGTGGTGGTTAGGACAGTAAACCTGGGTGTACTTTACCTATATAACACTATGGTGGTTGTTAGGACAGTAAACCTGGGTGTACTTTACCTATATAACACTATGGTGGTGGTTAGGACAGTAAACCTGGGTGTACTTTACCTATATAACACTATGGTGGTGGTTAGGACAGTAAACCTGGGTGTACTTTACCTATATAACACTATGGTGGTTGTTAGGACAGTAAACCTGGGTGTACTTTACCTATATAACACTATAGTGGTGGTTAGGACAGTAAACCTGGTGTACTTTACCTATATAACACTATGGTGGTGGTTAGGACAGTAAACCTGGGTGTACTTTACCTATATAACACTATGGTGGTTAGGACAGTAAACCTGGGTGTACTTTACCTTGATAACACCCACAATGGTGGTGGTTAATGCTGAGTTATGCTGGGTACACAGTACTACGGAGTAGTTAAGCACAAACCCCATTACACAAGACATCATAAACTGTAGCTGAAACCAGTGTTCACCCCATCTGTCAAATGCCAGGGCCTAAAAGCAATAAACATGATCACACATAAAAACGTCAAAACCTGAAATTTATTTATCAAATAGGAAATTCAGTAATGTTTTGTGAATATCATTTACACGATAATTAGGATGAAATGAATAACTGATCGTGTCAATCTCCTCATATCATTAAACATAATCTTAAAATTTGTTTGCTTTACATAAAGTCGAATCTCATCATCTTAAAGTTGACAGGATTTATTCTTTTTAATTGAAGTCAAATGTTTAGTGTGAAGTTTTGAAGGGACTGAAGAAATGCTTTGAAGTAAACAGGGTCTTCGATTTATAAGAATTTGAAATAATGAACTTTTCTATAATTTCTATAAATCAGATGTTTTTTTTCTTATAAAGAAAGTACGAAACAGGGAACAGATTAAAATGTGATAAGTTCAAAGTTCACTCAACAGTGTAAATGCAGCATATGGTTATGAATGCTCTGGAACATCCATTATAACACTGTTAAGTGATGAAGTGTGACCAAGTGTCATGGCTTTATTTTTAATACTGTCTGGTCACAGGAATGTTTTAACTATGATAATTATATAATATTATTTACCAACAAATACTTATAACAATGAAATTTACTTACCTTGTCAAACTCTCCATTCATATGTGCAATCAGCATCACAGGTACCAGCATAATTAAGGCATTGTAAAAGAGTAAACCATATTTGCCCAGGTCCTGTTAACAGACCCAATCTTTATTTTATAAATGTTATCACACATATTTCTTTCTTTAAACAAAATCTAGCACCAACAATCTGACATATCTTTATTTCCTTTGAAAAAATCTTAACTTTACTACTGATATTGTAATACATTGTCAGATTTTGTTAACAGAAACTCACTTACAAATGTGTAAATAACATCATCATTTTTCAGTTAAATTCTTACATCACTGATATCCCACAGTTCTTGTTAACAGAATCTTACATCACAAATATCCCACAGTTCTTGTTAACAGAATCTTACATCACTGATATCTCTTAGTTCCTGTTAACAGAATCTTACATCACTGATATCTCTTAGTTCCTCATAACAGAATCTTACATCACTGATATCTCTTAGTTTTTGTTAACAGAATCTTACATTACTAATATCTCTTAGTTTTTGTTAACAGAATCTTACATCACTAATATCTCTTAGTTCTTGTTAACAGAATCTTACATCACAAATATTATGAAATGACAAATTTAATCACTAATTAACTGATATTAACCTGCATTATGTGAAACTTAACAGTAAAAAATCCACACATTATTTTTCAAATACCTTTGCATCTAGTTTTTTCTTTGTATACACTCCATTGGCTGCTGTGAAAAAGTCATTCAGAAGAATGAAGATGTATCCCCAAAGGTCAAAAGCCAAGTCATCACTGTAAAATTCAAAGGATGAACAGACAAAAGGTCAAAAGTCAAGTCATTACTGTAAAATTCAAAGGATGAACTGACAAAAGGTCAAAAGTCAAGTCATTACTGTAAAATTCAAAGGATGAACTGACAAAAGGTCAAAAGTCAAGTCATTACTGTAAAATTCAAAGGATGAACTGACAAAAGGTCAAAAGTCAAGTCATTACTGTAAAATTCAAAGGATGAACTGACAAAAGGTCAAAAGTCAAGTCATTACTGTAAAATTCAAAGGATGAACTGACAAAAGGTCAAAAGTCAAGTCATTACTGTAAAATTCAAAGGATGACCTGACAAAAGGTCAAAAGTCAAGTCATTACTGTAAAATTCAAAGGATGAACTGACAACAGGTCAAAAGCTAAGTCATTGTTATACTTAGTATTGCTAAAATAATCCATGTCCCCTCCTGATCCCAAAAAGCTATTTCACTGTAACCGTTATGATTTTCAAAAAATAATAACCGTGACCTTAACCTTTACTCAACAACCATGAAACTCTTAGTTGTCCAAGATATTTTGATGCTTAAAAAGTGGGTAAAGTTTGATGAGAATCCCTCAAGGATAGTACATCACTGTCAGTGGTATACTGTGGTACATCACTATCAGTGGTATACTGTGGTACATCACTGTCAGTGGTATACTGTGGTACATCACTGTCAGTGGTATACTGTGGTACATCACTGTCAGTGGTATACTGTGGTACATCACTGTCAGTGGTATACTGTGGTACATCACTGTCAGTGGTATACTGTGGTACATCACTGTCAGTGGTATACTGTGGTACATCACTGTCAGTGGTATACTGTGGTACATCACTGTCAGTGGTATACTGTGGTACATCAATAACCTTAAGATAACTGTCAGTGGTATACTGTGGTACATCACTAACCTTAGATAACTGTCAGTGGTATACTGTGGTACATCACTATCAGTGGTATACTGTGGTACATCACTATCAGTGGTATACTGTGGTACATCACTATCAGTGGTATACTGTGGTACATCACTGTCAGTGGTATACTGTGGTACATCACTAACCTTAGATAACTGTCAGTGGTATACTGTGGTACATCACTATCAGTGGTATACTGTGGTACATCACTGTCAGTGGTATACTGTGGTACATCACTAACCTTAGATAACTGTCAGTGGTATACTGTGGTACATCACTATCAGTGGTATACTGTGGTACATCACTATCAGTGGTATACTGTGGTACATCACTATCAGTGGTATACTGTGGTACATCACTGTCAGTGGTATACTGTGGTACATCACTAACCTTAGATAACTGTCAGTGGTATACTGTGGTACATCACTATCAGTGGTATACTGTGGTACATCACTGTCAGTGGTATACTGTGGTACATCACTAACCTTAGATAACTGTCAGTGGTATACTGTGGTACATCACTATCAGTGGTATACTGTGGTACATCACTGTCAGTGGTATACTGTGGTACATCACTATCAGTGGTATACTGTGGTACATCACTGTCAGTGGTATACTGTGGTACATCACTGTCAGTGGTATACTGTGGTACATCACTGTCAGTGGTATACTGTGATACATCACTATCAGTGGTATACTGTGGTACATCACTGTCAGTGGTATACTGTGGTACATCACTGTCAGTGGTATACTGTGGTACATCACTATCAATGGTATACTGTGGTACATCACTGTCAGTGGTATATTGTGGTACATCACTATCCTTTAGATAACTGTGTGGTACATCAATAACCTTAAGATAACTGTTAGTGGTATACTGTGGTACATCAATAACCTTAAGATAACTGTAAGTGGTATACTGTGGTACATCACTATCAGTGGTATACTGTGGTACATCACTATCAGTGGTATACTGTGGTACATCAATAACCTTTAGATAACTGTCAGTGGTATACTGTGATACATCACTATCAGTGGTATACTGTGGTACATCACTATCAGTGGTATACTGTGGTACATCAATAACCTTTAGATAACTGTCAGTGGTATACTGTGGTACATCACTATCAGTGGTATACTGTGGTACATCAATAACCTTTAGATAACTGTCAGTGGTATACTGTGATACATCACTATCAGTGGTATACTGTGGTACATCACTATCAGTGGTATACTGTGGTACATCAATAACCTTTAGATAACTGTCAGTGGTATACTGTGATACATCACTATCAGTGGTATACTGTGGTACATCACTATCAGTGGTATACTGTGGTACATCAATAACCTTTAGATAACTGTCAGTGGTATACTGTGGTACATCACTATCAGTGGTATACTGTGGTACATCAATAACCTTTAGATAACTGTCAGTGGTATACTGTGATACATCACTATCAGTGGTATACTGTGGTACATCACTATCAGTGGTATACTGTGGTACATCACTGTCAGTGGTATACTGTGGTACATCACTGTCAGTGGTATACTGTGGTACATCACTGTCAGTGGTATACTGTGGTACATCAATAACCTTTAGATAACTGTCAGTGGTATACTGTGGTACATCACTGTCAGTGGTATACTGTGGTACATCAATAACCTTTAGATAACTGTCAGTGGTATACTGTGGTACATCACTGTCAGTGGTATACTGTGGTACATCACTGTCAGTGGTATAGTGTGATACATCACTGTCAGTGGTATAGTGTGATACATCACTATCAGTGGTATACTGTGGTACATCACTGTCAGTGGTATACTGTGGTACATCACTGTCAGTGGTATAGTGTGATACATCACTATCAGTGGTATAATGTGGTACATCACTGTCAGTGGTATACTGTGGTACATCACTATCAGTGGTATACTGTGGTACATCACTGTCAGTGGTATACTGTGGTACATCAATAACCTTTAGATAACTGTTAGTGGTATAGAGTGGTATATGACTTACCTCGCAGCTACTAATGCACCAAATATCATAAGAAAGACAGAAAACTGGACCACCTTGGGAGCCTTTACCCTGAAATAGCAGTGTTTACAACCATGTTACCAAAACACTATGGAATTGATGATGAGAGTAAAATGAGAGCCTAAAAAAGTGCAAACAGTATGTACAATTAATCAGACAAAATAGTTTTGTGTGGATGTCTTCACCTGGCAGATTATCCACATAGATAACACCATTCCAATGCATTGGACTAGCATAAAATCAACATTTCTTTCTGCAGGGGCTACATTTCTCTCAGAAAGCATTACCAGACAAATCTTTTTTCCATTCAGTGAAGAAAGTATGCTGTAGCAACTTTAAGGTCTTGGTTTGGAGAAAATTTCTGCCTGCAGCTTCTGTACATCATTTAAACTATTATGGTGAAATACATGCATGAGAAACAGATTATATCATTACATGTTTAATTCTTTCTTCTCTTTATATTAGAAAAATTGAAGAAAAAAAACATACTTGAACATCATTAACTATTAAGAGCGTTAATGTGGCTGGGTGGCACAGTGGTAACACATTCGCCTTTCACCTAGTCGTCAGGGGTTCGATTCCCAGAATGGACGTGAAAAGGTAAGGGGTCACCTGTCTGACTACGTGAGTTTTCGCCGGGTACTCCGGTTTCCTCCTATATTAAGACCCCTCGCGCACTTACATCCAGGCCAACAAGAGTGATTAGTATCAGTTGAAATAACTTGTTTCACAATGGTTGTAAAATAAATAAAGTTTACATTTATTAAGAGGGTAAATGAAACAATAGTCTTTAAAAAAACAGGAGATTGAGGAGAACACATAAATGTTTCTTGGAAACTTTGACCGATGATTCTAGCATCACATCTTCTCCAAAACACACTTAATAATTTTTAGTTGTATACAACATGAAATTGTTTACTTTGACAAGGCATGAGTTCTTTAATCATTTCTGCATCCTATTAACAAAATGGGCTTATTGCTGAATAAAAATATCTAGACAGCAGAAACAGGGTGGCTGGACTGGGATGTTTATTAAAAACTTACTACAGTGGAAACAGGGTGACAGGACTGGGATGTTTATTAAATACTTAATACAGCAGAAACAGGGTGACTGGACTGAGATGTTCATTAAAAACTTACTACAGCAGAAACAGGGTGACTGGACTGGGATATTTATTAAAAACTTACTACAGCAGAAACAGGGTGACTAGACTGGGATGTTTATTAACAACTTACTACAGCCGAAACAGGGTGGCTGGACTGGGATATTTATTAAAAACTTACTACAGCCGAAACAGGGTGACTGGACTGGGATGTTTATTAACAACTTACTACAGCCGAAACAGGGTGACTGGACTGGGATGTTTATTAACAACTTACTACAGCCGAAACAGGGTGACTGGACTGGGATGTTTATTAAAAACTTACTGGTACATAATTATTTGTAATAGGAAAAAATCCCTGATTTACATACCCTAATACAAAATACTCTGCTATCATCGTAAAAAGGATGGAGAATCTTCTTAGAATGGTGAACATAGGCAAGCTGGAAAATAACCAAATTCATTTAACAAATCAAATCTTGCTTGGTAAGAATATTATGCTGTGATATCAGGTTAGTATCAATCTAATGATATTAAATATATATCTTTAATAATTGTTTAATATGATGGAGCTTTAAATAAAATAAGAATATTTTTTTTCTAAATATCAACAGGACAGTCTAGTTTTAACACAACACATACTCTCATTTTGAAAGTTTGTTTTCTATCCTACATGGTGGTGGCAGATGACAACAAAAAATGTCCTAAAGACTTCAGTGGTAAAAATATATTATAACTAACTTAGTAACATAATTTTACCTCGTTATGAAATTAATTTAAATATCAAAGGTTAAAGTTCAATTCATAACATTCTAGATAACCCATAACAACCAAGTAGATATGTAGTTTTACTTACTTTAGTTTCTTTGTTCCACCCAATCCAAACACCAAGTTGCCCATATAGATCAAAGGGAGAGGCCAGATCTAGCAGATAAACACAATATTTGTACACTTTGATACAATCAAATATTCAGTTACAACTGATGCTTTCATTTCACACATATAATGAATGTAGTTTTCATTCAGTTTATTGCTGACCTCAGATGAAGATCAAAAGTGTGTGATTCAATAAAAGATTCAAAGTGTGAGATTCAATAAAAGATTCAAAGTGTGTGATTCAATAAAAGATTCAAAATATGTGTGGTTCAATAATAAGTGTGTGGTTCAATAACACCTTAAGTGTGTGGTTCAATAATAAGTGTGTGGTTCAATAACACCTTAAGTGTGTGATTCAATAAAAGATTCAAAATATGTGTGGTTCAATAATAAGCGTGTGGTTCAATAATAAGTGTGTGGTTCAATAATAAGTGTGTGGTTCAATAATAAGTGTGTGGTTCAATAACACCTTAAGTGTGTGGTTCAATAATAAGTGTGTGGTTCAATAATATCTTAAGTGTGTGGTTCAATAATAAGTGTGTGATTCAATAAAAGATTCAAAATATGTGTGGTTCAATAATAAGCGTGTGGTTCAATAATAAGTGTGTGGTTCAATAATAAGTGTGTGGTTCAATAATAAGTGTGTGGTTCAATAACACCTTAAGTGTGTGGTTCAATAATAAGTGTGTGGTTCAATAATAAGTGTGTGGTTCAATAATAAGTGTGTGGTTCAATAATAAGTGTGTGGTTCAATAACACCTTAAGTGTGTGGTTCAATAATAAGTGTGTGGTTCAATAACACCTTAAGTGTGTGGTTCAATAATAAGTGTGTGGTTCAATAATATCTTAAGTGTGTGGTTCAATAATAAGTGTGTGATTCAATAAAAGATTCAAAATATGTGTGGTTCAATAATAAGCGTGTGGTTCAATAATAAGTGTGTGGTTCAATAATAAGTGTGTGGTTCAATAATAAGTGTGTGGTTCAATAATAAGTGTGTGGTTCAATAACACCTTAAGTGTGTGGTTCAATAATAAGTGTGTGGTTCAATAATAAGTGTGTGGTTCAATAATAAGTGTGTGGTTCAATAATAAGTGTGTGGTTCAATAACACCTTAAGTGTGTGGTTCAATAATAAGTGTGTGGTTCAATAATATCTTAAGTGTGTGGTTCAATAATAAGTGTGTGGTTCAATAACACCTTAAGTGTGTGGTTCAATAATAAGTGTGTGGTTCAATAATATCTTCAGTGTGTGGTTCAATAATAAGTGTGTGGTTCAATAATAAGTGTGTGGTTCAATAATACCTTAAGTGTGTGGTTCAATAATATCTTAAGTGTGTGGTTCAATAATATCTTAAGTGTGTGGTTCAATAAGATTTTAAGTGTGTGGTTCAATAATAAGTGTGTGGTTCAATAATACCTTAAGTGTGTGGTTCAATAATATCTTAAGTGTGTGGTTCAATAATAAGTGTGTGGTTCAATAATAAGTGTGTGGTTCAATAACACCTTAAGTGTGTGGTTCATTAAGGTCTTAAATATATGCAACAACATATGATAGAACATGATAGATGAAATGATGTAATATGTTTCTATGTATCTTATATGGCTAAAGAGAATAGTATTTCTTACATTAACTTACATATATCTGACATACTTATGTAAAGTAACTTAACTATAATTATGATATAATCTAGCATCGGACAATTATCTATAAATATAAATATGATTAATTACATTATATTTACAAAATCAAAATACAGTTTTTTACACTGATATTATACAAAAAGTGTAAATAACTTTCAAAATAGAAAATGAAAAATGTAAGTAATATCAGTTGCTGACACTACTTTCAGAGAAAAGACTACAAACACTATCACAACAAATTGCCCTGTAGGGAAATTAAATCTTTTTTCAGAGATACACTCCGCTGATTGCTGCGTTTTAGTATTTCCTCCAGGCAACAAATAAATAACAATCTTTCTAGTAAGTAATATTGACGGTACTGTCCTCCATTAAAAATGGATCCTAACAAACAAATGTTCATTGGATGGATATTACCGGAATAGATATATGATCAATGAAGTAATAACGACCGTACAGACAAGTTAATAGTCAATTTTTCCAGGCAATCGGCCCTTTATCAAGACACAAATACTACATAAATTACATCACATACAAAGAACATAAAACAAATACAAAGTTATAAACTAAAACTGATAATAATAGTGTAAATTTAGGTGTCTTGATAATCCCTTCGACTGAAGGCCCTTACTAAATTTCAGTACATTGTGCACAGTAGCCACTGAGCATATATGTGATTGCAGAGAAAAACTATATATGTACAACAACAGGGAAGTATAACAAATTTGTCTGAAGCCAAAAACACTGTTACACAATTATCTCAATTTCATCATCTTCCCTGTCCTAAACGGCAGATAACTAATCTTTTGACCTTGACACAGTTAATGGATCTATTAACGTTAAGTCAGAAAAATTAAAATCTTCTTTGTGTTTGTGTACTGGAACCTGAATCATGAATTCTGATATGGCCTCAGCTGCCTCTAACTACTGCTAAATGTAATATGTGTAGTATTTGTTATAGGGTTAGTTAGTGACAAGGTATAAGTAATACATCTTAAATCTGTCATAGGATTAGATAGAGACAATGTCATACATATAGTATTTGTTATAGGGTTAGTTAGTGACAGTGTAATACATATAGTGTTTGTTACAGGGTTATATAGAGACAAAAGTAATACTTGTAGTAATCGTTATAGGGTTAGATAGTGATAATGCAATACATGTTGTATGTGTTATAGGGTTAGACAGACATATACCTTTCTTACTACATCCAATGAGGGCCCTGGAAACTGTACCATTCCAGTCTGTCTTCCAACCAGTAACAGCACAATACCAGTTAACATCTGTAAATATTGTCCATCTTATATCAATTCATAAAACTAAAATTAGTGTAAACGAATTAAAAACAGACAGAATAAAAACGATCAAACAGACTTTCACTCACACGATAAATGAAAAAAATAAATGTGTTTTATTATACTTAACATCAAAGCTGATATAGAATATGTTTCAAACAAGGAAGAAGAAACCAGAGCTGTCACTAAGAACGTGACAGGTAACTGTATACTTATTGCTTTGCCAAGTGTTTTCTTTAGAAGATATACATTTGTATTGTGCATAAAAGTATAGTTGTGAGTTGACAATATTTGTTTTAATTAACATAAAGGGGCAGAACTCTGTAAAGCAGGTAGCATATGTGTCTTTATGTAAATAATGACACTCGAGGTAAAGATTTAAGGAAGTCTATTGGAATGTTAATATTCAGGAGACAATACAGGTTTTGTGTCATTAACTGCTGTTTTATTTTACCCAAGGCCTTAAATAAGTTCATTTTTCACAGCAAAATCACTTTGGGGAGCACAAACTACAAGGTACATGTAATGGCACTTCTAACAAAATGTATAACCAACGCACTGAAAAAGGGTTGAATTCCAAATCACATCAGGGGGAATAACTCCATATGGTACTGGTACTTCAAACAGAATGTTGAAGAGTTAGAGGAAGCATCACAAAGTTTATTTCAAAGGGGCATGATTCCTTTAAAAAGGGTCAAAATCCAAAATCATCCTTGGGACATAACTCAATATGATATGGGCATTTAACACAAAATGTTAAAAAAAGAAATCCATTGGAATTTGAGCGAATGCACAACTGGACAAAACTTTTTTTTAACAGAATAAGGGCATAACTCTCTAAAAACAAGTTCAAATGCAAAGTCACTTCAGAGGGAATAACTTCAAATAGCATTGGTGCTTATCACAAAAATGTAAAAAGAAAATCATTGGACAACTAACAAATGCATAACCACACCAAAAAATGTTTATTTTTTTCACACAAAAGGGGAATAACTCTATGAAAAGTGGTTGAAATGCTAAACCTTTTCAGGTGGCATAATTGCATAAAATTCACTTCATTTTTGTGTTAAACTAGCTAAATACTATATGTACATTGTATGTACAATTTGTAGAGTCTGATTGAAGTTGAGGATAAACCTCAAGAATAAAAATGTCTGATTTTACACCAAAACAAAACCAATTGTATTAATGTGTGTAAAATTATCATGTATACCTGGCATGTTAAAAGAAAACAAAATTCAAGAATTTCTTACCTGTCCCAGAGCCAGAATTTGGAAAGATGGAAACCTGATGAAATAGAGAAAGGAATCAATTTTATTAAGAATAAATTAACAATATGTTTAATGAACACAACAAAGAAACATTCAAAATAGAACTGCTAGCCTTACAGAAACCACATTTTTTTTTAATAAACATTTTGAGTTAAGAAACTGGAACTTAAATCCATCCTCTAAACTCAGAGCATAACAATCATCTCATTTCAGATATATTCTGTGAGTAATGGTACCTGTACAAATATAGCCAGGTTTCCTGTCGTTCCACACACACGAGGCATTTTAGATGTTGACAAATGTTTCATTTGGACAGACATCTGTTTGTTAATATCAAATGTCTGACACTTAATGTAGCACCCAGACGAACCTCAAAATCCAAAGTTGTTTGGAAAAAAACAAAATAAAAAAGGAGATCCCAATTGGATCATGGCACCATTGTTTGATCTTATTTTTGTTCTTTAAAAGTTTGCTCTTTTCCCTTCTCTTGTCTGTCTCTGCCAAATCCAAGTAGGTTGCCTGTTTTGTTTTTTTCTGATCAGTCAAAACACCAAAGAGGCACAACAAGGGACAAAGAGGAATCTACAAGACTACATATGAATTAAATTTGAGAAAAACCCATCCAGTTCCCCTTAATAAAAATAATAACAAAATATATTTCCAGACAGACAACGGAAAATAGACCACAGACATTGGATTTGAATAGTCCACCATCTGACGTTGTTTGACGATCATAATTGTCCAATTGAACTTATACCACCTGGTTGTTCATTAGATTGCAATGTGAGGTGTGTTTTATAAAAATGTAACACATTGAAAAACACTTAACCATCTTTATCTTTGTTTTCATACGTTGGTGTAACATTATCATGATAAGTTTACATCATTTTCATTTCCTGGGTAGAGAGAATGCGTTACGGTTCAAGCGCACCCTCTCAATTCACAAAATTACCAGAAGTTAATATTCCCAACCAGTGAAACAAGTTGATGACTACGACGATACTTGAATTAGAAGAGTGAGTAAAATTACCCTCTATACAGCCTATTTAAACCACAACTTACTGATATGTTGTTAAAACCACTTTGTTGCACACAATGATGAAAAATGAAGCTGAACCGTAGAAGACAGCCGATAAAATACGACTGGCGAACGTCGAGCTACCACTTAGTACCGCCATGGTGTGTTGTGTACGGAAGTAAGAGACGTGAGGTAAGATGGAAAACGGATAAATGAAATATCCGGATTGTAAAAATTAACGAGAGAAGATTGAAATCGATTATTTTATGGCGAAGCTGTGATAGCAACACTTTGGGTATTATGAGTATAGGGGTAACGTATATAGTCACAAGTAAAACCTCACTGCTTCAACCAGAAGCATTGGGGGTAAATCTAATCACAGTAAGAAAGCCACTAATGGGACCAAGATTATTGGGAGTAACATTGAGTCACTGTGAGGGCAAATCTAAAATCTAGTCACTGTGATGACATCACTACAAGGACCAGAAGTATTGGGAGTAACTTTGAGTCACTCGAGAACATCACTACTGGGAACAAGAGTGTTGGGAATAACATCGAGTCACAGTTAGAAAACCACTGCTGAGACCAGGATTATTGGGAGTAACATCTAGTCATTGAGAGGACATCACTGCTGGGACCAGGAGTATTAAGAGTACCATGGAGTCCCAGTTAGAAAACCACTGCTGGGACCAGGAGTATTGGGAGTAACATTGAGTCACTGGGCTAACATCACCGCTTGGACCAGGAGTATTGGGAGTAACATTGAGTCACTGGGCTAACATCACCACTTGGACCAGGAGTATTGGGAGTAACATTGAGTCACTGGGCTAACATCACCGCTTGGACAAAATTGCTTGCACCACTGAGCAAGTTAATTTTACGCAAAAGAAGGCTTGACTTATTTGTCAGAAACCTTGCTCAATGTAAAAAATGATTCTGGAGCAGACATAAAAGACTTCATGTAAATAAGACAGTCTCTTGGTTGTTCTTGTTTGTCTTCAAAATATGAAAAGATAACTGTAACAAAATATTCTTTTTGTTTTCATATTTATTATTATATAAATACATATCAAATTTAATAAATACAACGTACACCTTAATTGTGTTCTTGCGTAATGTATGAAATGTGATTTTTCAAACATGATTGATGCAAAAATATGGTTCTAAACTTCAAAACAAGGACGGAATGAACAAAACTTTGAAGCAATAAAACACCAAAAAAGGACGGAATCTACTGCTTAAATATTCAACGATACTCTGTAATATATAATACAGATTACTAAGAAATATACATTCAATTTAAAATCCAAGATGAAGAACTTAAACGAAAAGCTGAACTGGTTATGATGGATCACTTTACACAGCTTCTAATGAACATTTTACAGATGTAAAATCCAATGGTTATTTATCATAACATCTACCACAAAACAAACGTCAACACACATCCATCCATACATACATATATACAAACATATATATACATCATAAACATACACTGAAACATACATCTTATCCAGTACAGGTACTATATCATATATATGATATGTCTATCGTATCTTGTATTATCACAGATAGCTTTTTCACCCGATATGAACACCAAATTGTTGACAAGAGACAAGTGTCAACATTTAGTGTGTGTCACAAGATGCCATTCTTCTACCCTATATATTTATTCATCATATCCATAAGTCCTCTAGCAGTTTTCTACACATGTAAACCATCTTTTTTTTAATTGTGTAATCAGACTATATATGTAGCCACTCCCGCTGGTTTGAACCCGAGATGACCAAGTTTATATGAAACTACACTTAGATAAAAATTCACACTAATCTTGGCTTGTCACATCTCTACTTGACGTCTGAGATGAGGTTGTCAATGGCATCCCAGTCGATCACACTCATAACACTACCGGAGCTCACAGACGCAGCATAAGCAATCTTGTTGATCTCGTCAATATCTACAGACTCCACATACTCATTACTGTCCATAATCACATCATAGTAATCGGAAACTCCTTCAGACATTGGGTAGTCAACACCGGACATTCGTGACATCGCGTAGTCAACAGAATGGCCTGGCATCTAGAGGAGAATAAAACAAGTTGTGATTATTTCTCACACAAATTAATCTAACAAAGAACTCAATGAACTTTTAGAATCTTGCCTGTTTTTTAAAATGACTTTATCTTTATTTTCATGTGCTATATTTCTTGTGAAATCCATATCCCCTATTCACGTGCAATTCATACTCCCACATCTCAAACTTGAGCATAAAAACTTAACAAAGACTGTAGGGAAAATAATTCTAATTTAAAATATGCAACATTCTCCTTTCCTGAATGGTATCCTCATAGAAATTTTAACATCTAACAGATCATAAAAGATAACCATGGACAGTTAAATTGCATACAGTGAATGATAAAGGGCAGAAACTCTGTATATAGAATATAGTATGGGTCATATTACTGTATAGCAAATATTAATGAGCCATTATTGCGTATACAACAGAGTATGGTAAAGGGCAATAACTTTGTATAGTAAATAGTAAAGGGTCACAATTCTGCATATTGTGCATAGCAAGGGATATTAACTCTGTATATGTATAGTGAATAGTAAAGGGCAAATACTTTGCATATAGTGAGTAATTAGTGGCTTTAACTCTGTACCCAATCCATAGTAAACGAGTGTGACTTTGTATACAATGAATCGTAAAGGGCAATAACTCTAGATAAAGTGGTATAATACAGTATACTTACTGCTGAACTAGCGTCATCCTCGTACAGCAAATGTTTGACATTGTCATCCACTGACCAGTCACTGAGTACAGAGTCTCCCTCTCCAGGTATTTCCGTTCTGTATGGGTCAGCGTAGGGACGTATTCGAGTCTGCCCTCTTGCTTGTGAGATCTTCTTAACTGTAAAATTGAGTAGGATACAAAAAAATCATTAATTGTACATGGCTTCTATACTGGACAAAATGTTTTGCTTAAACTAAAAAGATCTATTTAAAAAAAAGTTTAGCAAAATTAATTTTAAGTTGTTATAAATGTTGTCAAAACTTTTTATAATGATTTGTGAAAACAATTTATTCTAAAGGGTTACAAAAATAAATGTTTCATTAGAGTACATTATAAAATGGAATCTTCTACTAAGGACAGAAAGAAGTGAAATGAAAAATTTTTTCATTACCATACACAAGAAACAGATTTTGCTATTAGCGGCAACCCAGTCACCATGCTAGAGTATGCATAGTAAGAAGAGAAGAATTCAACCAACCTGGTTTAGGCTGCAAGGACTGCAGTTGTTCTGCATAAGTCATTGGTCTGTGAATTGGCTTGTGGGACTTCATGAAAGTGGCAGTCTTCACCCTTCCACTGGCAGCTAAACAAAACAAAAAACATCAAGTTTGAGGACTTATTATTATTTTCATCCTTAATGAGATTATTTCAGTCACATGCCAAAAGAATTCTGTGGTAAATGAAGAAAATTTCACATTTGTACAAGGACAACTGACCCTTGGGTATAAACCATGTTGTCTGTCCCCAATTTACCAACGTTTTCCATGTTGACAAAATGAAGTGGTAATAAGCATTACTCATACAAAAGTAAGTGATATTATCAGTGTAGTATTACATAAAATATATATGGAGAAAATAAACAAGTGTTTCAAAAAAACATGATATTAACTAAAACGTGGCATTAACAGACGTGACATTAAAAGGGTTCAAATGCATCAAGAATTGTTTCCATGCAGTTAAATATCTTACATCCATCTGACAAATCCAAGGACAACATTAATTATATTTTCAGATGCCTGGGTTTGATCGTGTGCAAGATCTGTTAACAAGATAAATACCACACACAGAATTTACCTCTTGGTTTGTGAGTACCCTCACTGAGTTTCTGTAGCCGCTCAACGTAGCTGAGTGGCTTGTGTGGTGGTCCAGTCTTCTTCCGCGATCCACTAGTCACCTGGGAACTCCTCACTGCAACAATATTACAATAAAACTGTTTTATAGACAAACAATACCTCAAAGACTCCAATTTCATTCCCTGAATTCTATCAAAGAATTGAGTTGTTTAGCGGGTGTATGTTTCAGAGATCAGGCACACACATTGGGAAGCAGTCATCATTTGACAATTGATGACAGGTTATCATTTCTTACAGCATTTCAATTTATGTTTCAAATGATAAAAATATATCAAATCATAAAATTGCATCAGTTTTACAGTGCAAAGATAAATACTTAAAACTATTTTTTTTTTACAAAAAGTGAAGAAATCTAGAAATCCAGTTAGAAATAAATTTGCCCCATAACTATGCCTAAGCATCATTTCAGATTGATAATAATAAGATATTAGCTGAAAACGAAAGCAATTTTAAGTGATTGACCAAATATACCAGTTAACAATCAATTTGCTGGGATCAGTATGTATCAAATTATTTTTCAACTACAACAGGACAACATTATCTATCATAAAACATTATGTAACTATGACACTACACTGTAGACGCTTAAATATGCTCCCCAGAGTCAGCTACCTACCTGAGCCTCCTCCTGGTCGGTGAGAGCGTGGCATTATGGGTTGAGTGAAGGCTGGCTGTTTAGACTTCATCTCCTGCAGTCGCTCTGTATAGGTCTTTACAGTTCGTGGGGAGGCGACAGGGATTCGACTTGGAGCTGGTAATCTCTTAGAACCTATAATTAATGTGAGAATGTAACAATCCATCCGTTAAGGCAATTTTACTCAGTTTTCTTCATTGCCAGTATGAAGACCTCGGCACTCACAGGAAAATTACAATAACAATCTTCAACTGACAAAACCAAAAATGAGTGCCAAGGTCTTCCAAACAGTTTAAAATTTAAAATTAACCCAAAAACAAAGGGTAATTTGAAGAAACTTCAATAAAGGAAGGATAAAAAATATCCTTACCATAAATTTTCTGTCTTTCCTGTATCGTCAGTTCCTTTGACTCATTCATAGATCTAGACGTGGCGAGGTCATCATCCTGGTAATCTTGGATGTCAGCCTCTGTGACCACAGGGGCTAACTTGGCCTGGCGGTACTTCCTTGTCATTTCTGGTCTCTGGACCCTAACCATCTTGTGGAATGGCTTTGGTTTGTACTGACGTTGTGGCTCAGGCGAAGGCACGAAGCGTTCGGACATAAACATATCATCACTTTTAGTACCCTCCATTTCCTCAACAGCCTTGGCATAAGCTGATATCTCACCTAAAGCACAAGCAACAGATTACATTTCCACTTTGTAAGGACAATGTTAGAAAACACATATAATACATAATACTCAACATAACAACATGAAACTCCCTGACTGTTCACTGACTTTTCCCTGACTTTGTTCCCTAACAAAAATTGATTAATTTTAACGATGCCACATATGCCCCAACAGCTGTCCAGTCCACCCATACCTTAAAAATTTATTCAAGGAAAGCTAGGAAGGGTTATTTTGTGTTTTTATCTTTTTATTGAATTAAAAGATTGCTCTCGTCACAATGAGATGTTCAACCACGAAAATAATTTTTCCCTGACTTTGCTGGAATTAGGAGATTTCACTGACATTTCACTAATTCTCTGACTTTTTTACTGACCTGGTATCCCTGTTGTAGACAAAGGCAGGTTCTGAGTTTAACACTGCGATTTTGCCTTCAATTTCTGTACACAGAATATCATCAATAAGAGGGAAAAATCACAACAGAGAAATATCCAAACATCAAACTGACTTACCACCTGTGGTTTCCATGGTTTTATGTAACATTTCTCCCGAATCTATCAGCTGCAGCCTTGGGACTCCTGGGGGTACCCGTGAGACCTCTGGAGGACTGTAGTCCCTTGTAGGCTTCATGATTCCCTGTCTCTTGACAGGGTTGGCTGGCAGGTCATCATGGGCTATACGCCTACTACTCTGTGTCACACCTGGCCTGTACTCTGTGGGCAGGTCTGTTGTTATAGTAACAGTTTGCCTCTTAGGACTGGTGTCTCTGCGATCTGGAGAATGTTGGACAGGCTGTCGTTTGGGACTAACCTGTCTTATTGGCTGTGTTGGGGTCATAGCTTTGCGTTGTGGACTGTAGTCCATTTTAGCCTTGGCCAATCGACTTCGCTTGGGACTTATTTCTCGACCTGGAACTTGTTTTGGGAGTTTAGGCTTGTCAGTGATGATGTCTGCGATAAGACTTTGGGCCTCCTCAAGACGTTTGTCCATATTTCCTTTTCCAGTTGCCTTCCTCTCCTTTTTCAATTCATTTGCAGGGCCCTTGAAAAAATGGATCAAATTTGGTGTTTTACATATCAAGAAGTTTGTGAATTAATGAAATTACAGAGTTTTATTCGAAAACAAAAATTCTACATTGTAGACCTCAAAGTTAGGAATTTAAAAATTTTTGAAAAAAAAACCAATTAACTCACCCTGAAACTAGTATCTTGGCTTGGTTTGAAGGGGTTATGTTCTTGCTCCCGCAGTTCTGCCAGCTTGTTTAAGTATTCTTCCTGACGAGCAATTCTTTTGTCCTTCATCCATGACCTGATTTCTTCCTTCCTCTCTGCATCTTCCTCATCCTTTCCAGACTTCACCTTGTCACCCATTTTTTCCAGTAACTCGAGGCTTTTCTGTACGAGATCTCTGTCTGGTGATTGACCACTCCTCACACTGAAACAGTGAAAATAATTATTACATCAGGTATATACTGTATCAAATCATACCTGCGATGCAGAAAATGAGAAAAAAAGGGGATAATTTCCGGAATCTGGGTCTTTTACAATAATCTCCTTGATCTTACTTTTGAAAACATGGTTGTTCTTCAAAAGGATGAGGATTTTCATTGAAGAGGAACATATTCTAGTGCTGAAAAATGAAATTACTGGAAATTTTCAAAACATTGAATCCTTAAAGTACCAAACAAGAAGCAAAAAGTCCAGGGTTTGAATCCAAGATCAAAACCCCAGGAACAACTACAATACCTAATTTTGACTTTCTACACCTCATATCAGTATGATTGTGATGATCACTTAAGGCTGATCTTTGTGGCTAAAAGTCTGACCTTTGACCTTACCTTAGACAGGCTGACCTCCAAGTCAATCTCAGTTTGACTCTGAGTTAGTATTTCCTTACCTTAGTTTGACCTTCCTGGCAAACTCCTCTGCCTCCTTGGGTGTGTAACCTGCATCTTCCAAGTCAATTTCACCTCGCTGGACCATGTCTCCGATGATGTCACTAATGCCGGAGAGCCCAGACATTCGAACCATATCAGGGCTGTAACACAGAAATCAAAATATAGACATTTATTTGTCACATGATAGAAAATATCAACCCCAGCGGAAACACTTCTCTTTTTGTTTCTGAAATTCACAACATATTTTTTCATTTCCAAGTCAAGATGAAACTACATCTAAGAAATATCTATGTTTATTATCAATGAGTACGTATGATTTGTTTATTTTCAGTAATCAACTGTATTGTCACAGTATTTACAGATCAATCACCATGTAATCAATGCTATTTTAAATACCTTTATTTTCAATAACATGGTGCTGATATATGTAGTAGTACCCATACCTTTCCCCACCTCGGCTCCTCCTGTCTGAGAGAGCAGTCGACCGTGCTGACCGTGCTGATCGTGCTGTAGCCTCTGGCGACCTGTGAGATACTTTAGGACCGGGACTACGACTTGATGAGCGAGCTGTAGCCTCCGGTGACCTGTGTGACATTTTTGGTCCAGGACTACGACTCCTGGAACTGACAGTTCCGGACCTAGCACTGGCCTTACCAGATGGGGAGGGGCTCCTGTCCCTCTCTTGAGGCTCTTCAACCTCCACCAAGTTCTCTAATGTGTCTAGCATCTACAAATACAAACATTTATTGTACACCTATACATCAATCAGTCACTAAGTATCAAGATACCTACATCAGCGATAATGATAAGGTCTTCCATATGGTGTTCACAATGACCATCAGTAATCTTGTCATCTGGTCAAGCTTGAAATATGGCACAAACAAAAGTATGACAAATACTGAGCAAGTCCATGAGGTTTCAAAAAAATACATTTAGTACTTATTTGAAAAAATGAAAAAAAAACTTTCAAATATCGAAATTCTTTTAAAAGACCTCACCATCAATGTTTTATAAGAATCCTTTTATCTATTCTTCAAAAGTAGAGGGAACAAGAACTGTTTGCAGATAGGTTTGACTAAAGACAAAAAACAATTGGAAAAGTCTATTATCATCTCATTAAGCTGGACTAAAAATATACTTCTACTACATATGCGTAGCTGTATCCTACTGACCATGTGAGTTGTCTGGAAGTCTCTCTCAATTTTGGTGGACATTTGGTCAATAGCTAGTGCCTGGCTGTTCATGTCCCGCAGGCGTTGTATAATACCGGCACGTGTGTCCACAACACTGTCACGTGGCATAACTGCCACAGACACCCTGCAATAGGAGATTAGGTATCAATTTAAAGAGTAGACTTTCACAAACATATGTTTAGTGAAATATATAACATACCATTTGATTTTATGAAGAGGATTTGTATAGGTAAGTGTGAAGATTAGACTGGGGCGGACTTACCTTTCTCCAACAGGACCACTGTGCTGCTGGAACATACTGACAGTAACTGCATCCTGCTTGAATGGTCGGACTGGTGCTCGTGGCTCCAAAGCTTCTCTAAGTGATGATTCTAGATTGCTAAACTCTTGGCCTTGTTGATGACCTCGTGCAGACATGAGTGTTTCAGAGGTAGGACGTAGACTCAAATCTTCCTGTACCTTCTCCTCGTCTCTGATGGCTCGGAGATCTTTAAGGACAGCTGCCGCATCCAAATCAACCACATTGAGGTATGAACGGCCCTTAGGTTTACCCTATAGGTAAAAAAATAGCAATATTTTAATATATACAGAATACAATCTTGATTTGCAGAATTGTTAATAGAATGCATTTGTTCTAAGTGTGGCCAATCAGGATTCTTTAAATGGTATCACTCAATTATTCCTGTTCTCATTTATTACAAGATATTGTGAGAAAATGAAATAATAATATGAGACTCTGAATCAAAATTATTGTTTAACTAGAAAATGCAAGACATGAATGCCCCATCACCCATGCATATAAGTATCACTGATTGATGGACTTTCTGATGTTAAAAAATGTGACCTTTGATCCTTTAATCTTGACTGTTGACCACCTCAAGGTGTAGAACTTGGTGTTATGACACTAATTTAGATATGAACCAAATCTGTTCTTAAGGTATGACACTGATTCTAAATATGAAGGGATGTGACGAGACAGATAGACATGGATAAGACATTACACCCTCTCCTCCCTATCAAATGATGACGGGACTTAAAAACCATTCTGCATTACAATAGAATATATTTGTTTACAAGATCATCCCAATTTTCTACAGAAACATTAATGTTATAAAGCAAACCATGATTTTCTATTCTATTATTATCATACCTGCTTTCCGTCAGGTGCCACATCTGACATAGGTTGGTTCTCACCGTCCCCGAACCGCAGTCCCATATAGATGTCTGGAGGTAGTGCAGTACCTTGTCGTGCCCGATTGTACTCAACTATAGCTTCCTGGATCGGGTCAACACCTGGACAGGTAAAACAAAATACCGCTATAAAATACTGATATTTTTAGAATGAACAAATAATAAGTCTAATTCATTTTCTGCTTATTAATTTTATTAATTTTACAACACAGTGATAAATTCTATACAACCCAGAATCACAGTGATAAATTCTATACAACCCAGAATCACAGTGATAAATTCTATACAACCCAGAATCACAGTGATAAATTCTATACAACCCAGAATCACAGTGATAAATTCTATACAACCCAGAATCACAGTGATAAATTCTATACAACCCAGAATCACAGTGATAAATTCTATACAACCTAAAATCACAGTGATAAATTCTATACAACCCAGAATCACAGTGATAAATTCTATACAACCCAGAATCACAGTGATAAATTCTATACAACCCAGAATCACAGTGATAAATTCTATACAACCCAGAATCACAGTGATAAATTCTATACAACCCAGAATCACAGTGATAAATTCTATCACAGTGATAAATTCTATACAACCCAGAATCACAGTGATAAATTCTATACAACCCAGAATCACAGTGATAAATTCTATACAACCCAGAATCACAGTGATAAATTCTATACAACCCAGAATCACAGTGATAAATTCTATACAACCCAGAATCACAGTGATAAATTCTATACATCACCCAGAATCACAGTGATAAATTCTATACAACCCAGAATCACAGTGATAAATTCTATACAACCCAGAATCACAGTGATAAATTCTATACAACCCAGAATCACAGTGATAAATTCTATACAACCCAGAATCACAGTGATAAATTCTATACAACCCAGAATCACAGTGATAAATTCTATACAGAAACCTATACAACCCAGAATCACAGTGATAAATTCTATACAACCCAGAATCACAGTGATAAATTCTATACAACCCAGAATCACAGTGATAAATTCTATACAACCCAGAATCACAGTGATAAATTCTATACAACCCAGAATCACAGTGATAAATTCTATACAACCCAGAATCACAGTGATAAATTCTATACAACCCAGAATCACAGTAATAAATTCTATACAACCCAGAATCACAGTGATAAATTCTATACAACCCAGAATCACAGTGATAAATTCTATACAACCCAGAATCACAGTGATAAATTCTATACAACCCAGAATCACAGTGATAAATTCTATACAACCCAGAATCACAGTGATAAATTCTATACAACCTAAAATCACAGTGATAAATTCTATACAACCCAGAATCACAGTGATAAATTCTATACAACCAGAATCACAGTGATAAATTCTATACAACCCAGAATCACAGTGATAAAATTCTATACATACAACCCAGAATCACAGTGATATATTCTATACAACCCAGAATCACAGTGATAAATTCTATACAACCCAGAATCACAGTGATAAATTCTATACAACCCAGATAAATTCTATCACAGTGATAAATTCTATACAACCCAGAATCACAGTGATAAATTCTATACAACCCAGAATCACAGTGATAAATTCTATACAACCCAGAATCACAGTGATAAATTCTATACAACCCAGAATCACAGTGATAAATTCTATACAACCCAGAATCACAGTGATAAATTCTATACAACCCAGAATCACAGTGATAAATTCTATACAACCCAGAATCACAGTGATAACTTCTATACATCCCAGAATCACAGTGATAAATTCTATACAACCCAGAATCACAGTGATAAATTCTATACAACCCAGAATCACAGTGATAAATTCTATACAACCCAGAATCACAGTGATAAATTCTATACAACCCAGAATCACAGTGATAAATTCTATACAACCCAGAATCACAGTGATAGATTCTATACAACCTAAAATCACAGTGATAAATTCTATACAACCCAGAATCACAGTGATAGATTCTATACAACCCAGAATCACAGTGATAAATTCTATACAACCCAGAATCACAGTGATAAATTCTATACAACCCAGAATCACAGTGATAAATTCTATACAACCCAGAATCACAGTGATAAATTCTATACAACCCAGAATCACAGTGATAAATTCTATACAACCCAGAATCACAGTGATAAATTCTATACAACCCAGAATCACAGTGATAAATTCTATACAACCCAGAATCACAGTGATAAATTCTATACAACCCAGAATCACAGTGATAAATTCTATACAACCCAGAATCACAGTGATAAATTCTATACAACCCAGAATCACAGTGATAAATTCTATACAACCCAGAATCACAGTGATAAATTCTATACAACCCAGAATCACAGTGATAAATTCTATACAACCCAGAATCACAGTGATAAATTCTATACAACCCAGAATCACAGTGATAAATTCTATACAACCCAGAATCACAGTGATAAATTCTATACAACCCAGAATCACAGTGATAAATTCTATACAACCCAGAATCACAGTGATAAATTCTATACAACCCAGAATCACAGTGATAAATTCTATACAACCCAGAATCACAGTGATAAATTCTATACAACCCAGAATCACAGTGATAAATTCCAGAATCACATACTATACAACCCAAAATCACAGTGATAAATTCTATACAACCCAGAATCACAGTGATAAATTCTATACAACCCAGAATCACAGTGATAAATTCTATACAACCCAGAATCACAGTGATAAATTCTATACAACCCAGAATCACAGTGATAAATTCTATACAACCCAGAATCACAGTGATAAATTCTATACAACCCAGAATTGATACAACCCAGAATCAATTCTATACAACCCAGAATCACAGTGATAAATTCTATACAACCCAGAATCACAGTGATAAATTCTATACAACCCAGAATCACAGTGATAAATTCTATACAACCCAGAATCACAGTGATAAATTCTATACAACCCAGAATCACAGTGATAAATTCTATACAACCCAGAATCAGTGATAAATTCTATACAACCCAACCCAGAATCACAGTGATAAATTCTATACAACCCAGAATCAGTGATAAATTCTATACAACCCAGAATCACAGTGATAAATTCTATACAACCCAGAATCACAGTGATAAATTCTATACAACCCAGAATCACAGTGATAAATTCTATACAACCAAGAATCTTATAAATTCTATACAACCCAGAATCACAGTGATAAATTCTATACAACCAAGAATCTTATAAATTCTATTGTTAATGAACTACAAACAATCTGTGTACCATTGACTGACCTACTTGTAACGCCTTATTAAGTAACAATATCTGTGTCTTCAGTTCTACTTGTAAAACCTTTTTGGTAACAATATCTGTGTCTTTGGTGATAGAGGTTGCTGTGTCTGTAGTTTTACTTGTAAAACCTTTTTGATAACAATACCTGTATCTTTGGTGATAGAGGTTGCTGCCTCTGCAGTCCTGACACTCTCAAATGCTTCATCAGCATCAATACCAATATCAGCATACTCTGTGGTGTTCGTAGAGAAGTCAACCTGATACAAACAAAAAAGAATGGAATACAGAAGGATTTTTCTCCAAAAAATATAATGCATTCTACACTCTGCAATCAAACATTGTTTCTTCAATTTTTGAAAATAAAATTTTGACTAGTTAGTTTTTCCATGTAAATATCACTGAACCAGAAAAACAACACAACAAAACCAACTTGAATTTCAGTTTCCTGTACGAAGAATGTGACAAAAGGTGCTTGTGTATATGACACAATTGTGCTTCAGATATTTTATTTGATACAAATCATATGTAACTTCAATATCTTTAACATCTAAGGGTAGTAGAATAATCTTTTATTTGCAAATGAACCTTTTTGCGTTTCTGTCGCTGTCTTTTCAGGATCATTGCTGTTCTGTACTGTATCCTGGCATTTGTGTCAGACTCTGGACCCAGCTTCTCATCAAGGTCAAGGTAGTTATCAAATGACCCTGGAATTAAACAATCTAGGTAAAGATGGTTGACATCTAACCATGGACGAAAGCAATGAAGGTCAAAGTATCAAACAGAAGCTCTCATTCAAGAACCAGTGAGAAATTAATGTACTCTGCATGACTATTTGATAAAGACACTTTTCTCAGACAAGTGACAAAAGTGGAACATATTAGCATTAACATATAGAGTGTTCCACATCAAAATGAATTGACAGGACTATAATCCTATGTATGTTGAGGTGGATATAGTGTAATGATATTACATATGTATATTACAAATATACTATCCTTAAAATCATTTCAGCTACGCTTTGTTCAAAACCTAGTTGTAGGTGTGCAAAATTCTCCCTCATCCCTGTTTAGAACAGATCTGCTCGGGCATATCGAGATGGCTTCCCTAACCTGCTCTCGAAAAGTTAGACTGATACGCTTCACACCAGTCCTTTGTCTGACAATGGTGACAGTGTAAAACATCACACATGAATTACCTACTGCCTGTGATATAAGAATTTCTATTCTATATATAGTTACATACTTGAAGAAAATATTTCACATTACAAGGTCAATAAATTTAACACCGCCATGGTTAGACACTATATGAGGACTAACCTGGTTTAATAGCATAACCATCATGAATTCTTTCTGGCTCGTCATCCTCTTCTAGGGATTCATCTACATCCTCACCAGTCTCCATAACATCTGTACTTTCTTCCTCCTCTAATTCTTCCTCCTCCTCACCTTCTTTGCTTCTGTCACGAGGGGTGACAGATTTCCTTGGGGTGACAACCTTTCTTGGAGTAACAACCTTCCTTGGTGTCTGTAAAAAATCAATTGTATTGTCTCTTCTACAACATAAGTTTTTATGCAATCATTTTATCAACTTTATAAGAAATCCTACCGTAATCTTGGTATTCACCATTGTTTAATCGTTATTCCAGGTTCTATGTAAGTTGTTGTCATGTTTGTCATATTGATGCATTGGAAAGCATAGAATGTAGATTTTGCCAAGTATATGACATTTTTTTATACCAAAAATACCAAACTAGTAAAGAGAGGAGAAAGAAAAATTGTTGGCTACAGTATCAGTTTTTCTTTCAAATGATTATTCAAAATTATACATTTAATTGAAAAAGTCAGAAAGATCTTGTAGAAAATTTGAAAATCTGACGTTTTCACTTCACAAAACTTGAACTGTAAAATCTTAAAGATGTTATGTAAATGATGGATGTGATGAAATGTCCATTGTGTAATCTGACGATATAGATAATACAATTACTTACTCTAGCACGTCTCGTATCAGATTCCAGAGATTCAGACCTTGAGATGACATCTCTATTTTTCTGTTTTTTCCTTGCTTTTGCCTCCCCTTCCTTCCTTTCTTTCAATTCCTGGTGTTTAAGATTAATATGGAGAAGATTTTCCCCAAATTTTTGTTTCTCTAGTTCCTCCAAATTTTCAACCTTAAGGACAAAGAATCTGTATCAATATTCTCCACGATGTTTAAAAAGTGGCATATACAATTATAGAGATGCAAAACTATAAATTGCAGAATACGTAAAAATATTTCATTATCTGAATTTATTCAGGAAAGTTCATATCAGTACAATTTATCCTAAAGAAAGGTTTTTTTTGTCATTTATGACATCTAATGTTTTAATTATGTCCAGTATTCTTGTAAATATGAAATATTTTTCAGTCATTTTCTTAAACATAGCATTTCATAAGTCATGCATTTGTCTTTCTATGAAAATTTACATTGTCACTAAAACATTTCTGCATTCATTAATAATAATAAATATTTATTTTACAGCAATTGAGAAACAAGATTTTCCAACTTATATACGTAGGGTCAAGTTTGAAACCAAACTGGCATTAATACAACAGTAGAATAGTCAGCCATTTAAAGACTGCCTGTTAACTTGATTAAACACTGTGTGTGACTTTGGTTAAACACTGCAAGTAAATTTGATTAAACAATTAGTGTGAATTTGATTGAACACTGTGTGTGGATTTGATTGAAACTGGGTGTGACTTTGGTTAAACACTGTATGTAAATTTGATTAAACCATGGGTGTGAATTTGATTGAAAACTGGTTGTGGCTTTGATTAAACACCGGATGTGAATTTGATTGAACACTGGATGTGACTTTTGTTAAACACTGTATGTAAATTTGATGAAACCATGGGTGTGAATTTGATTAAACACCGGATGTGAATTTGATTGAACACTGGATAAGACTTTTGTTAAACACTGTATGTAAATTTGATGAAACCATGGGTGTGAATTTGATTAAACACCGGATGTGAATTTGATTCCAGTTTGGTAGTGATCATCAAACAGACATCAAAGTAAATTTAAAATATTACAATGCATTTCTGTCAGTATATGTAGGGATTATAATTCATGGTACATTAACTCCTTACAAAATTCCATAATATCTAAAGGTTGATTTACCTGCTGTCTGTGGAATTCTCTGGCATGTTTCTGCTTCGCCATCTCCTGTTGATGTCTCTCTTGTTCACTACCCAGAATCAGATGTGGAGCCAATAACCTTCCGAAACTGGGTTCTGGTCGAGGGCCCAAAAACGGTTTTGTTTCATTGGGCATTTTTAACAATGGAATGCCAATAGATTGGTTCTGTTGATCTGGAGTTAGGTAACTCTCGAAGTATTGTGGAGGGGGTCCATATGGGGGATACTGTGAGGCTAAGTGAGGTAACTGTTCTCCAGGGAATTTGTTCACCCCTGGGAATAATCTAGATGGAACATGTGCTCCATGCACATTGAGCAGAGGAATGTTGATGTTTTCTCCTTGTTTATCTGCATACTCATCATCCTTTTCCTTCCATGCCTGGGAGGGAATCCTCGGAAGTCGTATTTGGTCTTCATTCATGTCCCTCTCTGCTGGAATACGTAAAAATTTTGGAGTGAAGTGAATGGGCTCATTACTATATTGCTGAGAATTCTGTACATTGATGTTTTCTTTTATTTCTTTGTTACCGCCAGGCCCTCCTAGTCTCAGTTCTGACTGGTCAAGGTTCTCTTTCCTTGAAGGTGACCTGCCTCCTGACCGCACCCTCGACTTATCAGTGTTGCCTTGTAAATCTTTTAACTCTGTCAGGGCTCCTCTGACTGATCCTTTCTTCCCTGACCTTGATCGGCTTGAATGATCAAGCTCCTCCATTCTCATGGTGCTGCGATCAAGGCTATTACCCCTCGACCCTCTTATTGGACTGGTGCCTCGGTTCTCTGTCATCCGCCTCTCCCCGCGGGATGGAGACTGGGACTGTGGTCTACGAGGATATCGCCGTGGGGGAGGGGTGTGGGAATAGTCCTGATCATCAAGTGCTCCCATCATAGCCAGCATGTTGGTGTGTTGGACCTACAAACATACAGGATAAATGAATACCATTTGCCTATTTCAAGTAAACTGTTCTTAAATAGCCATTCAGTTTTAAATAAATGGGCTTAATGTTGTTTACAGGGTTACACACATATTTGTTTTGTTTGGTAGCAGTCTGACTGGTTCTTACCTCCATTATTCGGCGCAGTTCAGACCTGACTATGCCCTGTAGCTGTGAGGCGAGGTCTCCACCTAAATCTCCCTGGTTACGTTCCCGAGATGACCTAGTCCTGGGAGAGCCAGTGCGTCGCATAGACCGTTGAGACTTTGGAGTGCTTGTGTGAGGAGATTGCTGACGCTGTCTGTCAGGGGATTGGAAATTGTGGATTCTATTCAAGTAGGACAGGTTGTAGTCAGGACTAGTGTGTCGAAGTGACCTTCGTGACCTTTGAGGACTCGTTCTAGGCCTGTAATGATATTTCATTTTTAAACAGATCAGAAACATTTTCCACAGTAAATCATGTCACAAACTCATCTTCAATGTAAAAAATGACAGATATTTACAAATATCATAGTATCAGTCTAACAGAACTTTTTCATACCATCTTCATAAAAACAAAGATTAGAGACCAAAAATTATGGAAATATTTTCCCTCTAATGATGGACAGACAATATTTACCCTCTAATGATGGACATACAAATATTTGCCCTCTAATGATGGACAGACAAACATTTACCCTCTAATGATGGACAGACAAATAGTTACCCTCTAATGATGGACAGACAATATTTACCCTCTAATGATGGACAGACAAATATTTACCTTCTACTGATGGACAGACAAATATTTACCCTCTAATGATGGACAGAAAATATTTACCCTCTAATGATGGACAGAAAATATTTACCCTCTAATGATGGACAGACAGATATTTACCCTCTAATGATGGACAGACAAATATTTACCCTCTAATGATGGACAGACAAATATTTACCTTCTAATGATGGACAGACAAATATTTACCCTTTAATGATGGACAGAAAATATTTACCCTCTAATGATGGACATACAAATATTTACCCTCTAATGATGGACAGAAAATATTTACCCTCTAATGATGGACAGACAAATATTTACCCTTTAATGATGGACAGACAAATATTTACCCTCTAATGATGGACAGACAAATATTTACCCTCTCATGCTGGACAGAAAATATTTACCCTCTAAAGATGGACAGAAAATGTTTATCCTCTTAATGATGGACAGACAAATATTTACTCTCTAATGATGGACAGACAAATATTTACCTTCTAATGATGGACAGACAAATATTTACCCTCTAATGATGGACAGACAAATATTTACCCTCTAATGATAGATAGACAAATATTTACCCTCTAATGATGGACAGACAAATATTTACCCTCTAATGATGGACAGAAAATATTTACCCTCTAATGATGGACAGACAAATATTTACCCTCTAATGATGGACAGACAAATATTTACCCTCTAATGATGGACAGACAAATATTTACCTTCTAATGATGGACAGACAAATATTTACCCTCTAATGATGGACATACAAATATTTACCCTCTAATGATGGACAGAAAATATTTACCCTCTAATGATGGACAGACAAATATTTACCCTCTAATGATGGACAGACAAATAGTTACCCTCTAATGATGGACAGACAAATATTTACCCTCTAATGATGGACAGACAAATATTTACCCTTTAATGATGGACAGAAAATATTTACCCTCTAATGATGGACATACAAATATTTACCCTCTAATGATAGATAGACAAATATTTACCCTCTAATGATGGACAGACAAATATTTACCCTCTAATGATGGACAGACAAATATTTACCCTCTAATGATGGATAGACAAATATTTACCCTCTAATGATGGACAGACAAATATTTACCCTCTAATGATAGATAGACAAATATTTCTAGCCTCTAATGATGGATAGACAAATATTTACTCTCTAATGATGGACAGACAAATATTTACCCTCTAATGATGGACAGACAAATATTTACCCTCTAATGATGGACAGACAAATATTTACCCTCTAATGATGGACAGACAAATATTTACCCTCTCATGATGGACAGACAAATATTTACCCTCTAACGATGGACAGACAAATATTTACCCTCTAATGATGGACAGACAAATATTTACCCTCTAATGATGGACAGAGTATGGCGCATTTCTGGTTCATATTCATCTGTGCCCAATGAACTCACTTCTAGGGAACTGCTCTCTTCTTTGGTGTCCCTGTAAAATGCAACATATGTCTTAGAGTTTACATGTTTTACATTTTATCTGATTACCATAAACAGAATTCATTTTCTTCTATCTCAACAATAGTTGAAATAGAACTTTCTCACACAGGACATTTGAAATAACAAAGAAAAAGAAATGAGAGGGAAAGACATTTACTGTTAACTCACCCATCTAAAACTCTCTCATAAGCTGTGTGTACTTCCTCTGTCTCAAGGTCATACTCATTTTCTGTGTGATGTGAGGAGAAACTCCTCATACTTGAAGACATACCAAGTTCCTGTCTGGTGGGTGACCTTTGACTTTTGTCCTTACTTAACCTCATTGACCCTGTTGATACCTCGACCTGTTTGACTTGTGTTTGTTGGATCAATGCTGCCTCAACATCTGTTCTGTTTGTCTTTATCGTGTCCTCTTCAATCACAGACAGGTTTTGTCCTTCAGAACTATGGCTTGCCTTTTTCTTTGAGGGAGTGTACTTGTTTTCAACCAACCATAGACCAAGTACAACAAGAGTGGGTGGAACGTTGATCTTCATAACTGGACGAAACTCCAAGTCTTTTTCCCTCTTCCAGTTTAGCCCAAGAGAATGATTCTTATTTCCCCAGTGAGAGAGCCAGTCTAACAGATTTTGCAGGTGGTGATACTTGGTACCAAAGTCCACATCAAGTAACAGCCCAGAGTCCTCCTGTGTAGTAGAATCCTTATACAAGGCGTCCTCAGACTGGGCAAATTTGGAGGCCAAGTCCGTCATATTTGCTCGTCCATGTGGTGAGGACTGCCGTCTGCTACTTGGAGGTCCGGATGAGTTATCTGCCCCTGTGCTATGTTCAACTGCACTGACACTTCTGTAAAAGTCGGGGTTGATCTTAGAGCCCTTAGACTGTAAAACTGACTCACTCTGTGTTCGTTTGACAGCTCTGTGAGTTGGTGTCATGGGAACTAAACATTGGCGACTGTGCATAGTTGTTCCCGACTTTTCATCCATGTCTCGAAACTGTCTTGCACAAACTCTTTCCGAGAAAGGCAATAATAACGGTAAAGACTTGTGCTGGTCAGTGTCTGTGTCCAGTATCTTTGTAAAGCAAATGTCGAAGAAATTGTCCAAAAATTCCAGGTATGACGTCTTAGTTTCGAAAGGTCGACATCCAATATGGAAACCATTCTTGTTTTTGTGGCCGTTACTTTTCAGACTGTCAGTTTTATGGATTTTGCCTGACCGGTCATATACAAACTCTTCAAACTTACCAAAGATTTTAGCTTTCTTTTTCATCACTTTCATAACAACTTCACACTGCTTGAAGAAATACACAGACAGAATTTTCCCCCTAGGTGACACTTGTAAGAATGTAACTGACTTTCTGCCCTCGTTTTCATCATCATTGTTATCAAGAGAAGCTTCAGGCCTCGCTGACTTTCCATCATCCTCAGGTTCTATAAAGACACCCTGCCACACAGCAAGCAACTTGTCCAATTTCTCCTGAACTTCAGCATCCAAATTATCAGGATCATAAAAGAACTCAGCTAATATGTCAGCTGTATCTTCATTTGGAGGAAGTTCTGAGAGTAGTGAGAGAATGATTTTGTACACAAATCCCTCGTCTGGTAGAAACCTGCTGAATGCGGCCATGTGGACAGCCCACTGTAGGCTACTGAAGCACTCCTTTACCCAGCTCTCACCTTCTTTAGATTCCCAACTCTCCTAAAACCAAATGTAGAACATTTTTCAACTGTCGTAATACAACAAAACATTATCATAAATATCTGTTTCAATTTAGTAGGGATTTGATCTCAGTCTTTTTTTCAGGCAATATCTTAAAGAGTTATAAATCATCTTATAATTCACAAAATTCAAATTTAAATTTGAAGGATAAATTCTGAAATAATCACTACAACAGGGGCAATGCAAAAATCATAATCTAAACTTTCAAAATATCAACCTTATCGTGGCACATGGTTTAAGATGGTCACACTACTAAAGCAAGGTAGCTTTCTACTGACTATTAAGTCACGTAATGGCTTTTTTAAGGTAATCTTAAGAATAATAAAAATTCTGAGTAGGACATCTCAATTGTCCAAACTAAAAAATCTCAATTTGTTTTAAATATTCCAATCAAAGTCTTGGAATCACAGAAACTTACTCTCATGTAGTCCTCGTATTTGACATCATTCATGCGCTCCTCTCGCTGTCGCAGTAGTTTCGACATTCTGTCCCGAGCATGGAGAAGCCACAGAATTGTACAGAAATCACGGAAACAGTTGACGACCTGACGTACCGACTTCTCCTTCTGCATCTTACTGAACGCTGACTTGTTTTGTTTGTATTGCTCTAAGACCTCAGGCAGTTCTATACAGGGCCCCTCAGTTGTTGCCTGTCAAAAAAATAAACATGTTACACATTCAGCACATAGTTTGTTTAAAATACCTACATCAATCCAAATCTTAACATACACAACCAAGTGAAAAAATTTCCTCATGTTCATACAATTGTCGATTATAAGTATATAATCGCAATGATCTACCAATTGATGCTGCTAAGCTCCCTATCATCAAAATTTAACCAATGATACACTTTCTATGCACAGCTGAGTCTAATTTTTGCCTTAATGCATTCTAATAATTTAAGAGTACAAGTATGATGAGTAGAGATATTATGAATGTAAACTCTGAACAACTAAGCCGTTTCTGTATGTACCAGTCAGCTGATGTGACCAGTATAGTGTATTTATCTTGAACTGTTGACCAGTGTTCTAAGGTTTTGAGAATTTCAGTATGTGCCAGTCAGCTGATGAGACCAGTATGGTGTACTTACCTTGAACTGTTGACCAGCGTTCTACGGTTTGAAGAATTTCAGTATGTACCAGTGAGCTGATGTCACAAACACAGAGTATTTACCTTGAATTGTTGAGCTTAAGTCTAGGCCTTTGAGAGTTCCTGTATGTACCAGTAAGCTGATGTGACCAACATATAGTATTTACCTTGAACTGTTGAGCTTTAGTCTGGGCCTTTGAGAGTTCCTGTATGTACCAGCGTGCAGCAGGAAGAGAGATATGGGAGGCCTCCATGATAACCATAATCAGCTGTACCAGTGATGAGATTTGAAACCGCAGCTTCCTCTCTCTCTTGGCTTCATGGGAACCAACAGTCTCCTAAGCATACATAGATACATATCAGAAACTAAAAAATATTTGTAAGACACATAAGCTCCTACTCCTTTGCAAGCCAGAATGTGATCAGTTGAAAAGCCAGATGTTATGATGAAGTGAACTAAACCAAATCAATTGAAATAATATCGAGATTGGATATTCATTTGGAACAGGATGTGATATGACCATGCAAGAGGACATGCACAAATAGGTAACACTATATGGTCCTCCTGTGAAATAGCATGGGCAACAAATTTTATAATTTTATAGAAAAAAACGTGAGTTCTCAGTTAAAATGAATTAATATTACACGTTCCTGTTAAAGAGTGTGTTCAAATCACAAAGAATTGAACAGTCATTACAATTACACTGAAGAAGAGTTGGTAAATTAGTATACGTCTGTTACCGTGTCAGCCTCCGAGGGCTGAGGACAATATACTGGAGGGGCTGGCAGGTAGAAGTCTTTGGGAACCAGTGGAGAGAGGTTGGAAACCACATGTTTGAGTCTGTCCACCAGACTTGACATCAGCCAGGGCACAGTTTCTACATCACTAATGATCCCAGCAGTCAGTATATCCTCCACCGTCCGCGACAGCTGCACCAGGTTGGTCTCGTTATCAATTGGGATAAAGTCTGCAACAGTATCAAAAAATACAATTGATTAGGTGTTTATATATACTCTGCTGTTCTTACTCTGATTAAGGAAAAAACGAAGGGGGACGGGGGGCAGGAGTCATAAAACTAAGAATCTGAAATAGCTTCTAAGAAGATTGGTCATCACTTTAAGAAAACATGAAGTGTGTAACTTGCTCCTTTACCTCGTTTTTCCTCCTGTTTGACAGTAGCTCCAGCTTTTCTTTTATCAAGGTGGATGAGGGCCTCAAGCTTCCCCTGGAGTATGGCAGTGGGACTTAGTTCTTCTGGTAGCATCAGGGGCCTCTTCTTCCTGGTTACCATATAAACATATATCTTAACAGAATTTTGTAGGTGGAACTTGTAAATACTTATCTATATATTCAGATACAAGTTTTGTATGGTTCACAGACTGACTGATCATTATAAGAAGCAATATCTCTTCAACAAGCATCACAAAGATTCCAGTAACCATTTGAATATCTGTTGATCATTCTTTAACAACATCTCTCTACTAATAAGATCCAGCTCAATTTCCTTACCAGAAGAATTACCTAGCTACAGATGACAGTTAAAAAAGTCTCTCTAATATTGTATATGACCATACATAATGTATGTATTAATGTGAAGATAAATCATTACCATTGGGAGTTTAAAGCAGTTCTCAAGTTTATATACAAAAACTAGAATTTTTAACCAAACCACATTCCACATACTTTTTGTAAAGTCTTGGAGCCACAATGTGATGGGCTGTACAGGCCACTGAGAGAAGGAAAGCTGCCTTCCAATCCCCCATCTTGTCAGCAAACCAGACAGACTCACAAACAAGGCCACTGAGTAGGAGGTACTCCACCACACGCTCTGTGGTCCACTGCTGACTCAGTCCTTCCTGTCTCACCAAGTTAGTGATATCCTCATGGTACTTGGGAAGGATTCTGCTGCCTTGGTAAGATAAAAAACATTTGAAAATCAGCTTCATTTGAAAAAATTATTAATTCTGATTTCAACTTCATTAAGTTGCCAGAAATTTGGTCTACAGTATTAAAAATTTTCAAATAAAATTCAATTAATTACAGTTTTATCCACTTTGATGTAGTTAGATAGTGATGTTTTCAGTACAGACAGACTCCACTGACTTGTACTGGCCCCAATGTGTATGACAGACAGGGACTGAGGGTTGTGTGGTCAGTACAGACAGGCTCCACTATACTTACTGATTTGTACTGGACCCATATGTATGACAGGCAGGGACTGATGGTTGTATGGTCAGTACAGATAGGCTCCACTATACTTACTGACTTTTACTGACCGCATGTGTATGACAGACAGGGACTGAGGGTTGTGTGGTCAGTACAGACAGGCTCCACTATACTTACTGACTTTTACTGGCTCCAAGTGTATGACAGACAGGGACTGAGGGTTGTATGATCAGTACAGACAGGCTCCACTATACTTACTGATTTGTACTGGTCCCATGTGTATGACAGGCAGGGACTGAGGGTTATGTGGAGGGAAGACATAGATGGTTTGGTTACTGAAGTAGGCCGCCATGAACCTGGCCATGGTCTGCACTAGCTGTCTGATGCAACGATTACGTATACAAGGCACCATCTGGTTTCCATTCTGTCAAAGAAATAAAACATCAGAGAAGATACACCACAAGCTCGCTCGGGAGTTTTGAAATTGTACTGAATGCAGATTATAATCATTTGAATTTGAAAAAAAAAATTGTTTCCCCAATTCATTTCCCCATCATACATTTCATCTATCAAAAAACTTTACATGTACAAGAAGACACACATATGTTTTCTACACAATAAAGGCACTGTTACATTACTTACTAAGGATTTTTTGAGAGAGTGGCTGACAATGGTCATCATGAGGGAGCGGTCATCCTGCTCAGAGACATAGGTACTAACTTTGGCCTGGATTACCAGACTGTCCACAAAGTCCAGACCTCTGGCTAGTTGTCCCTTAATGATATATGTATACAAAACAGAGTGCAGGATTCGACTCATCTTCTGGACATCCTCAGGGTGGTCTGCAAGGGGAAGTAACTCAGGACTATAACAAACTCTAATAACATTCACAGGTGTACATTACAGTTGAATAATATATAGAAAAATAAATTAACTTCAGACATTTTATTTGCACAGGAAAAGTTAGGAGTTTATAGGCTGGCTACAAGCTCCTTCTGACTACCACCAATGCCTTAAATGCCTTAAATGTTCCATCCTATGGAAAACTTGTCAGCTTACTTTCAGTTTCAAAATATCAAACATGGAAATATTTTTTGAACATGAAAACCACTGCTCTTATGCCAACAAGAATCTGATCAGGTGTAGAACTTGACATTATCTATGATAGTTTACACTACTGGGTAAATATGAACCAAATCTACTGAGAAAGTCTCAACATATGTCTTGAGGTGGAAACGGACTAGTACATATTTTATCATTATCATAACACTTTTCACACTAAAAATTTCTATTGCACTAAGATATGATTGCGTTAGTTGCAATTTGCATATGTTGTTCATATAGAAATTACTGCCAATTAGCAAATTAATCATAGCACTATTTGTTAAAAATTGATACTGTGCTCAAATTTTATTGAAACAAAAATAAGGATGTTTACACTAACATTATATCCTCCCCTACCTTCCCTACAAGTTAAATTATACAGTAGTAAACCTTACCTGACATCTTTGAAAGTTGTGTTATCCATGACTCTATAGCCATGGTGTGTTCACCATCCATACTCAGTCTATCACCTGTTAAGGAAGAGATGTTACATCAATTTCTAGGAATGTTCACTTGAAAGTTTTTTACAGATTAAAAAGCATATGTTCAATAAAAATAAATATATAGTTTGTATAAGCTGATGGTCTATGCTGCTCAGGGTTTAGCTTCACCCAGGTATATGTTATCATGCAATAACAAGCTTTTCCCCTGCTTTACTAGACAGTCTGTTTACAAAGTCGGAAATTTTAATTTCTGTATAAAGTGTTTTGATTTCGGTAGTGTCATGCTGAAACTAATTAAATGTGGGAAGATCTGGAGGTCTTCTGTTTATGACACCAAGAGAAGATTTCTAATTCACCTTGATCTTTAAGAAAAGAAAAAAAAATTGAATATTGTCCCATGACCATTTCAGACTAAGGGAAAAAACTTTTTAATTTACTTCAATTATACCTGGATTGGGAACTTTTGAAACTTAACTAATTTTTTTACTAACCATCAGAAATGGATATGAAACTTACACTTATTGCCTTGTGGGAGGTAAATTTTGAAATTGAACTGATTGACCATGTTGGGGAGTTAAGAAGCTTGTATGATTGACCCTCAGGGAATATAAAGGAAACATACCCTGACTGTTGTTTTGAAATTGAAGTGATTGAGCCATGGGAAGGGGAGTTATGAAGCTAGCCTGATTCGCCCATCGTGAATGGAAAACTTACCCTTATTGATCCTTGGGGAAGGGAGTTTTGAAACTCCTCCATCCACTTGCTGAATAGTCTGTTGAATGGTGTACATTAGTCCACCAAGCTGCTCTGCCTGTTTCTGCTGTCCATCCATACCCTGAAGCTGTGTGTGGTGCTGTACCATAGACTTATATAGCAGCTTCCAGCTTGCACACAACCTGTATGTCAAATAGTTTATATACTATTCATACTATGAACACTCTATATATTTTGTCATTTTTCTATGTACCACTCTGTGATATATCTATTTAAAAAAATATTTGTGCAAAAAGTCCAATAACATTTGTCTTTATAATCCTAATTAAGACAGACTTGGGTGCAACTTAAGGGGAAAAGCTACATACATATTGTGCTATGTAGTAAATCCTCAAATACAATACACTTAACATTTCAAGGCATAAATAAGATATTTCAATGCATTTTTTCATTTATACTTGCCATATACACTTTTGTTCTTAAAAGGAAATTTAAAGTCCTGAACATTCAAAATGGTTTCAAGACTGAATAGTAATTGTGATTTGAAGCTTTTGAACTTAACACACACATTGTATTAATTAGAGTCTAAAATCTGATTATCTTTTTACCTTTAAACATTTTGTGTTCATGTCTCAGAATGATTTATGGATTTGACAGAGAAAGAATATACACTCCAATATAAGCACTCTCAGGGATTTCAGAAACATATCTTGATTGTTCAGAAATTTGTAACAACTTCTTTTGCATTTTATTGAAAGCTTGTTTCCCTATACATGTTTTTAGCTGGACACTAGTACAATTGTACAAATGTAGAAAGAGAAAGTGTCAATCTTTATACGTAACATATATATACATAGATGAAGTACCGGAAGTCAAAATCAAAAGGGCATTGAGAATGAAAATAACATATAATATTAAGTCAAACCTATCCCGTTTCTTCAGTTTGGTAATTCTAAGCAAATTGCAAAAATATGCTAAAATTCAAGTAAATACTGTAAATCATTTAGATACCATGAAAATTTTAATGCATGAACTTAACTCTTCTAGCAAATTTGAGAATACATGATCCAGAAATGACTTTAAATTTGTTAATGATGGGCTATTAGATATGAACTCTGATATCATTAACAGAATCAGCATGGATGTCATCAACAATTATTACTGTGCCATAGAATTTTTTTACAGTACAAAGTCCAGATTTCTCAATTTTTTATTGCCAGCATCCTTCATTACTAAACTTGGTATAACTACCACTTTGATCATCTCACATCCTTACCAACTAAACATGATACACCCCAATCACATGGCATCCTTACCAACTAAACATGATACACCCCAATCACATGGCATCCTTACCAACTAAACATGATACACCCCAATCACCTGGCATCCTTACCAACTAAACATGATACACCCCAATCACCTGGCATCCTTACCAACTAAACATGATACACCCCAATCACCAGGCATCCTTACCAACTAAACATGATACACCCCAATCACCAGGCATCCTTACCAACTAAACATGATACACCCCAATCACCTGGCATCCTTACCAACTAAACATGATACACCCAATCACCAGGCCTCCTTACCAACTAAACATGATACACCCAATCACCTGGCATCCTTACCACTAAACATGATACACCCCAATCACCTGGCATCCTTACCAACTAAACATGATACATCCCAATCACCAGGCATCCTTACCAACTAAACATGATACACCCCAATCACCAGGCATCCTTACCAACTAAACATGATACACCCCAATCACCAGGCATCCTTACCAACTAAACATGATACACCCAATCACCAGGCCTCCTTACCAACTAAACATGATACACCCCAATTACCTGGCATCCTTACCAACTAAACATGATACACCCCAATCACATGGCATCCTTACCAACTAAACATGATACACCCCAATCACCTGGCATCCTTACCAACTAAACATGATACACCCCAATCACCTGGCATCCTTACCAACTAAACATGATACACCCCAATCACCAGGCATCCTTACCAACTAAACATGATACACCCCAATCACCAGGCATCCTTACCAACTAAACATGATACACCCCAATCACCTGGCATCCTTACCAACTAAACATGATACACCCAATCACCAGGCCTCCTTACCAACTAAACATGATACACCCCAATCACCTCGCATCCTTACCAACTAAACATGATACACCCCAATCACCTCGCATCCTTACCAACTAAATGTATTATACCTTCATCAACTTATTGAGGTACACCTGTTTTCTCTATGAAATCAACAGCGGTAGTGACAGCATCAATAGAAAGATACTGCAATAACTGATTACATCAATATATAAATTTTAAATAAACACTTAAACTTTACCATGCCTTACCTGTATTTGATGCTAGTTTCCTACATACTATATAAGTAAATAGCTGATGTACCAGTATACTTATTTAGCTACACCATCTTACATAGCTGCAGTAATATACTCTTACTTCTACATTATAGAGACTCAAAATTTAATCAAAGGTTCTAAATAGATGAGACTGATTTATTTCTAACTGCATATATCAGTTGTCTGTTTACAGTTACAGATAAGAAAACTAATATAAGTACTCTGGTATTATAGAATAACATGTGAAATGAAAGTCCAGGTTTACACGCTGATGGTGTAAACATCAGCAAACCTGGAATGGTATGTCAGAATTATAAAACTTATCAACAATGAAATGATGTAACACATGTGTTATTGATGGTATGAAATGTATAGTGGTGTGTTATATGGTGTGCAAGTATTATCAATGATGTATGTGTGTTAATGTGTTATCAAAGGAGAGTGTGTATGTGTTATGAATTGTATCATTGTGTGTTTTATGACACAGTTGTGTTAACAACACTGTGGTATATGGGTAGCTAACGTATCATACTGTGTGTAATCAATGGATTATTGTGTGCATTGGTTGTTATAGACACCAGTGATAATTCGCACACAAGCAGTAAAATCAATGTTGGTGTCAAACAATCACAACTGATATCATGTTTCTAGATTCAATGAATGCCTTCTACCTGTTAAAGATCCAAAACACACACAGGGTGTCAGAGATAACTTACACTAAAAAGATGTATGTAAATTTGAATAAATTTTCTTTGATGTTCAACAATCTTTAACAGTTTTGTGTTCGATTTCAATAATCTTCAATACTGTAAATAATATAAAATAAAATAATATAAATACAAGATAATACTAGCAATAACTTTCAACAAATTTCACAGAAATCATCAAGTTTTGACAACATAATGTATGATTTCTGTTGTTTTAAACTCCTTATAATTCTAAAGTCGTGATAAAACAAAACTAAAATCAATTCAAAAAAAGAAAAGAGGATTGATCATGGTAAATCAATACGTTCAACACAGATTCATGGCCTAAAGTTTATCCTTATGTAGGTAATTAAGGAAGGTAATAACAGAAAGTGGTAAGGAAATTGAGTGCAATTATTTTCAGCATTACAGTGGTTGAAAAACGGGAAAAAAACACACAAATTTAAATTAGATCACCAAATGCCCTATTCCCATTTCACATCAGATGTATAATTCTTTATGATGTGTATTAAATTCAAGGTTTTGAAGAACATAGTGAGACTGTTAACATCAAAACACAATCAAAACATTACGCATATGCACAGATGCATATAACACACCGGTATTAATGGCAGTTGTCACTAATGACTCAACACAGGCATGTTCAAAAAACAAAAAACAGAGAAAGGTCACAACTACACAGATATTCTTTAAAGTTTCCTTCACAGGAACAATAATCACCCTTGGGAAAGTTCACTGAATATGGAGGCAGCATATACATAATTACTGGAAAAATAACAAATAACAGCGATTAAAACTGATCCAATTTGTTTCCAAAAAATTTACATATAATTTTAATGATTTTAATTTTAAAAGTTGGGTTGAAAATAGGAAGAATCCATAAACTTCTAGTTAAAGAGTGGATATAATATAAGTTTTACATAAAAATATCACAGATTAAAAATCGACATTAAAAATCGAGTCCTGTACTCAAAAAAATTTTGACAGAATTCATAAAATTTCTGAAAATATTGTCAGACCCATTGTTTTCAGAAATAAAGATGAAAAGGACTTAGGAAAACAAATCTTACTCACTGTATTCTGAGGATTAGTTTAAGTATACTTTCACCAAGCATAATTCAATATTATCTACTATCTAATATTTTTATATATAGATGTACACTATATCATAGAAGTTAATTATCTCAAATTTATGCTAAATGAATTAAAAAAGTAACCAGTTATACCAGCTAGCTCTGTAACTACAAGGGTAGGACATGTTACCTTCTGCTGGGGAGTTGTGACTGCTGGTCAAGAACCACACCCCTAGTCCTTTCTTGTTGAATCTTAGTTTGGATCTCCTTGGAAGCTGAGCGCGGGGATAGTTGTGACTTCACCAAGATGGCAGGTTCATATGTGTGTTTTTGTTCATTCCTTGACTCTGGTGGCAGACCACTGTACACAACATCCTTTGGCACCCAAACATAGACACGGTTCAGAATTGTCTCAGAAAACTTCATCAGGGCATAACATCCAGACAAAGTTTTTAATCGTGGATCTGTTTTCTGTAGTTCAGAACTGTTCAACACCAGGTTTAGCGTGTGGTGACTAAATCGGAGTGTAACTGGCATCAAATGTTGGTTGAGGATGTCAAAGCGAAGCAGTTCCATACACTTCCTGTACATATTGATGAGCGTGGAGAGGCGTGGATTCTGGGCTGATGGAGAAACCTTACGATACTCCATTAAAACCTTGTCCACACCTGGACATTCTAACAGCACTGCAAACAGTTTTATGAGGTTTTTACAAATGATTTTTGATACACTTTCGGCATCTACTGTCCATGGTTCATGATAAGACACCGCCAGCTTCCAGGCACTAAATAGACAACTTTCAGCAATATCTAGTTGTTTGGACATTGTGCTGAGTTGGTCCAGTCCAGACAAGTCTGTTGGATCTATCACAGTTAGCTCAGTCTCCGCAAATGCAATCTTTCCTGCTGTAAGTCCCTGAAACATATCCTGCTGCTCATCCAAGAAACTTGTCTCACTCTCTTGTGTTGTGTTTAGGTTTCCATCCGGCACTTCAAATTGGATCTTTTTTCTATCTCTCACTGACCTAGCAGATTTCTCCTCTGTAATCAGAGAAAACATTACAAATTAATCACGTGAACCGTAATATCCCTGTACAACTTTATTCATATGAAGTGTATGTTCAAAATTACTGAATTTTTAACATGCATTAAGTAAATTTTTTAATTGATCAGAAAAAATGACAAACACACTCTGCTGAATATTTTTCTATATAAACCCATCATGATAAATATAATTCTATCCGAGTGAATACAATTTCTTTCCAAAACTGTTATCTCTGAAACATGATGTGCATTCAAATGATCTGAAGTATCACAGTTATTAGATTTATGAATCTTAAGCCATGGTCTACAATAGGATGCCAAAGCGAACATGTACCTCTAGAGGATGGCATTCCATAGGCATCTGCTAGTGTCAAGGCTAGGTTCTCCTGGTTAGCCATATCCTTTAAATGTTTGGACGAGAACAGGACGAAATCTCTCATCAAAGTCAGACAAGTCATGTCCATCGGCAACTGAGCGATGGTTACCATGAAGCCATCAGAGAAAAGGATTATAGGAAGACTGGGATGTGAGGAAACAGAAAATCGCTGTCTCATTGGATCAGTGTTGGTGTTCGGCTGGTGGATGGGTGAAGACTGCGGATCATCAATCTTACTGTAACAGTAAGATTAATATCAGATTCTACTTTGTTCATATTTGAATGTAACAGTATTGTTAACATTAGGTTCTATTCCGTTTATGTTTAGCTGATGTGAGAGTAGAGATTTTGGATCATAAATTCTATTCTAACAATATCAAAACATGTACTTCCTCACTCCCTTCCAATACAGCACTCTGAGTGCTTTACTTAAAAGTTCTGGAAGCATTCACATTTTACATCACTGTTAAATGACATTTTAGTGGCTTATTAATTACATCATCCTCATTATGATCCAGATGTTATCAGTCATCATTCATGAAGATTTTATCTTCATTAACACTGGATTCCTGCTTTAAGACAATATCATCTTTATCTAACTCTTCATAGCTTAAGATAAATCACTCTTCTTACAGCACATTCTCAAAGATTTGAAAATACTACAATTAAATATCAGACAATTAAAGGCTACTGAACTTTTTCTGCCTGCTATCTACAGGATACTAATACCCCATGTGTACTCTGATCACCAACTCTCACAACAAAATGTCATCATAATTATATTGACATACCTGATATATTGACATGGATGAAGAGGCAGGAAGTATGCAGGACCTAATTCTATGGACTGTCCAAGAGTCCTTAGGTACACTGGCTCGCCCAGTCGACTGAGGAGGCACACTGCACCACTGTTCATCATACAGGCCACAAACAAATCGTCACATGTCCATGTCATCTCATTCAGCCAGTACATACTGCAATCAGGAACTCTTAGATATCAACCCTTAGATCACACAACTAATCTAATATGTCATAGATTTTGTGTGAAAACACAATATGTGACATCATAAATGAATATTGTCACACAGTTTTGCTGATAGTGAAATACATACACACAAAACACATGTGTCATATAAGGAAATGAAATACATCGTTGGTGGTACATTCTGATCCCATCACAACAGGAACATTCATCAAAATCACATGGTCGCTCAGGTTACGACTTTTGATGATCAAACTGTAGGATATATTTATCAAATATCGTAATTAAATTTGATCCCATCGACATGAGAAGAAAGTTAAAAACCTGACATCTTACCTGCCCATCTTTGAATAGCGATCTCTGACCCCACAACCCTTCATCTCGGACACCAAGACAGTGTCTGTAAGAGGGGAAACAAATAACATGCTGCTGTGGCCAGGTGTGTTCTGATTAGCTGCTACAGCTACTACCTGACCATTGTTAGCATAGCAATTCACATAAGCTCCTTTAGACCGGATAGGCTCATATGAGGGATGGATGTGTTTGAAAGGATACTGTATCACTGTCCACTCCACCTGGAATGGTGCTGACCTGTTATAAAAGAAAACGGTTTAATGTACCAAAGGAATCACCGTACATCCTCCTTGTTTATCATATCCAATACTTCAACATTATATCTGATACATATCAGTTCAAAACATATAATACATCATAAGGAATTCTCTTTGTAAAAAAATGTTCAAATATGTGTTTCGACATCAAATATGTCAATCAGAATAAATCTGTTGTCACTATCAGGAGAAGATAACCGCCCCTTCTTCAGTGACTTACTTGCTGGAGTAGAATTCAGCAGCTGTACCAAACCGTAGCAAGAGGGAAATAATACACAGGCTTTGTTCTTTATTATAAACCACCGACATCTGACAGCAGTGCCCCAAGCTCTGTAAACAAATCCAAAGGGTCTAACCTTTAGTGCATTGCACAGAGTTTCAGTAAAATATCTTGGTACATTAGTTCCAACTGTAAATGTTGTTAAAGGGCTATATAAAAATTCAAAGGTTTTCTGTAATTTTGATTTAAGATATAGGCTCCACTAGTATAATTCCTCAAAATCTACCAGTGAGCTGGTAGGCTAAAAAAATCTGAAAGATTTTAGATTGATTTTCTATGATAAGAGTTCATAAGAAGCTTACTGTGAAGGACCAAGCCATTTACCTCATGGTGAAAAAACACAGCATCAATAGAAAACTCAGCACATTCTTGACAAGATTGCGGAATGTCAATATTATTTGGAATTGCAACTTTGCTCCATGACCCCTGCACTTCAGGAAGTTTGGACTCCAAGATGTCTTCACTCTGTTCTGTCCTCCAGACAAAGAGATTTTGTGTTCCAATGACCAGGAGAAAATACTGACAGTCAACAGAGGCAAACAGCTTACATGGCTCTGTAAGGAAAGGTGTTACAATTATTTTTAAACAATCTCAGATTATCTCCCCTTATGGAAAATGCTCCACTTTGTTTTCCGAGTTTTATAAGTATTGTTTCTCATGTCTCAAATTATCATTTATCTATGTTATATATTTACATTTAAATAATATGAATTATTACCAATTAACAGATACTTATTAGCAAATCAGATATGTAGTTAGCCTAGTGTCTGCTTAAATTTTGAAGTCTTCTTGATTTTTAACACCTGGTAATACTTATGTACTAGGTATTTAAATTCCTTCAAAACAAACATATACATGTACTTTGGCTTTATACATGACTTCTTTTTATGTGCAGCAATCTGGACTCTAAATTTCTGCTAGTTGTCGGGAAAGCAAACAAGAACAGGAAATCCAGTTTGATCTTAATCGCTTTGTGTTGAATTAATGTAGAATCCCACACTTACAGTACATCATGAGCAAATTAATGTATTTTTTAAAGGAAATGTATATTAACTTTATTAACTTGTGCACTGAAAATTGATTTACCTTCGTGAAGTTCCTCTGATGAAACTATTCCAGCAAGGCCACGGATGGTCTTGAGTATGTCTCTGTCCTTATGCCAGAAGAATATGTCACCATGGTGAGTCAATCCAATCAAATATGCACCTGCATAAAATCATATATTTTCAATATTACACAAAGTGAGCTAAACCTTTTTACCACAATTTGTAAATATTTGATAAAGTCAATTTTAGAGATAAAGATTTATTTATCAAAACAGGTCAGAACATAGTTTTTCAAACTTTATATACCATAGTTTGAAGTATATGTATTTTTCAGAAAGGTTGCAGCTTATTGTCTCACCAAATTAGTATAACTCTTCATTTGTTAGTTGAGAGAATACATGACCAATTAGAAAGCGTTCTAAGGAGAATTAAACTAAATTTTGTAACTTATCTTTCTTGTAAGAATGCTTGGAATTAAAATAAAATTCAGTTATGAATGGGGCTAACTACGAGCAAAAAAAAACCAAAGCAGTTCCTTGAAAGCCCCTGTATCAGAATATTTTTCCTAATTCCTTTCTCACCATTTAAAGGTTTAATATGCCCAATTTTTTTTTCTGAAGTTGAAATATTTTAAAATCATTCATCAAACAACACTTACCATCTCTGGTTGTCCCAACACATTTTGTGCTGTCTACCAATGTAGTCAATCTTGGTATTTTCTTCTTCGTTTTTCCTGATGGAACATAAAGTACACTGGTTCTGTGGAATTCATTGTCTATCATAAACAAACTCTCACGCTCCTGAAGGAAAAGAGGAACAATAATTTACTTCTAAGAGATGAATGAATGCTGGAAAAAATTAATCAAATAAAACAAAATACTTCAATTCAGATGCTGCATGATAACAAATCTGGATATCCAATCTAATTATAGTAACACTTGGACAGTATAAATTTCAACATGGATAAGATAAAAATATGAGAATGAAGTACAAGTATATGTAGCATTAATTGATTTGTCCAATATCAAACTATGCCTTCCCAAATTTCATCTCTCCAAAATTTCTAAGATCATATGAGAATATTTTTTGTATACTTTAGGCCTAAAGACTACATACACTAACACTGATGAAAGAAGCTCACCTGTCCAAGCCACTGTATTTTAGGCCATGGCTTATTGCGCTTTATGCTACTTGAGGCTAATATCTCAAGCTTGATATCCATCTTCCTTTTTGTTTGCTAAGGAAAAGGTATCCTGGAAGCAAAAAATATACAGCAAAATAAATTTAGTGAACAGTACCTGCCTCAACAGATTTTTTACAGGAAATATTTTTGTGGTATTTCAAAGGTACAAAATAGATATTCTGGATAGATACCACAGAGCTCTTTATACAGGCATGTTATACCGGTATGTGTCTTGTATACACAGAATATTTACTCATGTGAGAAATGTTTAACTTTGTATAGTCATGGACAGTTCTGACAAAATATAACAGAAATTTAGATTTAAAATAAGTGATTCTCATTGATCAACTCATGTAAGGTAGGTGTTATGTCATCACCACTTTATCTCATCAACACCCCTAAAGTTAGTGACACCAGTGTCCATGAATTCCACATATTTTCAAATAGTACATACACTAGGCATTCTGTCCATTTAATGTCTTTAACATTTGATCTTCCTCTTAAGTTAATCATGGTCATCAATAAAAATAATTACGGTAACCATGCAGTGTGCTACCATGTCATACACTTATTATGTAGTGGTGATTTTTTTACATTAAGAGTTCCATTTTGGAAGAAGATAAAATGGGACGTTTGTGTTGCTTTGGTTTTATTAAATTCGTTTGGTACTTTGTTATGGCTGATTACAATGAGTAGATTTAGAAGGTTCCTGAGCAGGAGCAAGAAGAAATTCAAAACTTCAAGAAACTGATTAATTCTGTAACCATTGGAATCGCTGAAGACCACCTCCCTTTGGTAGAACCATTATGTCTAGATCCTAAAATATCATAAATAGATCTGTTGGCACTGGGAGTACTAAAAATAGCTGCACTAGCTAGCTTATGTTCATGAGTTATTGATGGATATCTTTACATCAGCCATAACGTTTCAAATATTCGTTTCTGCTCGAAATGCAGACGCATCCTGTCATCTATTTACACACACGAAGTACACAATATATTATGTAGCAATATAGGCCCGCTGTTTTCTTGCGTATTATTCGTTTGACAGATCACATATGTAATCGGATCAGAGATAGATTGAGCGATTGTTCTTGTTCTACGGTCATTTCCATCTCTCGCAAAGTAATTGTACAAGTTTATTTCTATATGAAATGAAAATGACTTGGAAATAGTAAATGAAATAGCGCATTACTCACAAATCCGAATGTTTTTCTTTCACATCGTGTCGATTCTTGTTCTAAACGGCCGCCATAACACAAACACTGAGGAGAACTACAACAAGGGGAGTAACTCATGGTTAAAAGATATCATAATTAACATGTACTAAAGGAAGGAAAGTGGGTATTTAAAAAACGTAATTAAAACCGAAAACATATTAATAGAACAGTTGAAAATAGAATTCCATCAAAACATATTTTTGTTACTCAAATTGATAAAATCATTAGACAAATGTTAAACAATAATATATGAAATCTTGTATTTCTTTCACCTTCCTATCCCTCTCTCATATATATACTGATATTCCTGCATATTCGGGATATATCAGAACCTCATTTAAACATATTTTATTATCAGCAGAAATAAATGGATCAGAGACAAGTTCTAACAACTTAAAAACTATTCTCCATTAATGAAATTACAAATAATTAATATACTGCATATATGTAATTCGTAGACGTACAATTGTAGGTTTCATTTTTGTCAAAAGGAGGAAAAGATAAGAAGACAGGATAGAAAGAATAGAATAAAAAAAGAGATAATATAGATTTTGAATATATCTCACAATATTACAATTAGTTTCATATGAGTAAACATCACTGTCGCCCCATAAGATAGTTTTTTTTATTAAAATTCACGTGTAAATCATACAAAGTATTAAAAAAAATGCATATAAAATTAAGGAAATAGTGACTTGCGTCTTCAATGCCATCACCACACGGACAATATCAGTACCTGTCAAAGCTTATCTTGCAAAAGACAACATTATCTAAATATTTCCGACTGGTGATGATATTAAGGCAGACATAGTAGACGGAACTAACATCGACTTTTTTTGTTTTTTTTTTGTTTCGATGACTTGATGATAATTACGAAAATAACCGAAGATAAAACTGTTATTTTTCCACATGGAAACAGGGATCAACATATTGACTTCCTGAATGGAGGTATCTTGCGCCAGTTTCATTAATTTCCTCTACCGAAGGATTTTTTTTAGCCGATTGCCCATAAGAAAGTATCACATCAGTTCAGAAGAATTCCTTTGAGTTAGGCTTTTCTCTTACTTACGTGATGTGAGGTAAGATTTTATTCAATGGGTGAATCGGATCACAATTTCATCTATATCTCGATATTGATTACGTTACAATGCTCATTTTGCGAAACACCTCAGTCCATGATAAAAATAACCTCCTATTATGAACCAAAGTTCTCGTGAACCGCTCCTCGATTGGCAGTTACTGGTCATTTCGGTCGGTCAGCAGACGAGATAAATTATTGTTGCTTGTCATCTTTAAGCCTTTTAATAAGCGATTCGGTAGACAGTGATAATTCTAGATCATCAAATTAAGTACACATATTCTGTTGTCAAAAAGACAAATGAACCAATGACAAGCCCGCGTGGACAGTTCTCTATATCATATTATATATATTTCATTTACAGTAAGTGACTTACAAATATTGTATAAGCATACAGTTATGGATTTGTTTAAAAGTTGTGATCTGGCAGATGTATTTTCGTTAATCGATTTATCAAAAGAAGGATAATGTGGGGTGATAGAACGTTGGAGGGAAAAAGAAGCAGAGAGTTAACAGACACAACATCAAATTAGTGAAGCCGGGACACTGTAGAAGATCCATCTACAGTTCCGTGACGGATGATGATGATGGTGGTAGTGGTGGTGGTGGTGATGATGATGATTATGATGATGGTGATGATGATGATGAGGAGGAGGTGGATGAAGTCTAGTGTTATAATCGTGTCATTTGGGTACATTTTAAACATTTTTTCTCTTCTTGTGTCATGTTTCCGTAATGGAAACAATATATATTCCGTTGTTTAACTTTACAAAAAAAAGTTATTAAAAATAATTTGTAGTTGCTTTAATAGTGTAACGTGTAGACAAAAAAAATCGAATATCACGCGTAGACGTAAAGGATGTTTTGGGCCATTCACTCTGTATAAAATTATGTAATGAAACCTAAAGATCGGTACACTTGTCTTTCATGTTAATTTTATATCCAAACTCTATCCTGATGCTTTCTTTTAAATCATGAGTACTTATAATCATAATTATAATGATCGTTTATCAAATTAGCATGACATTTTTAAAAGCGACATCTTTATGAGCGGGTCATGTGATCTAATTAGCGACCTGTACTCCTATTTGGTACTGACAGGTAGGTGCTCGGTCAGGTAGAGGTCACCAGGTAAGCTGAATGCCATGGCAAGTTTATGATATCACATGCCCTCGGAATAGCCAATCACAGTCATTGTTGACTACTCGAGAACTATTTATATTTTGAACACATGTCTTGCGTCAATGACCAGAAAAAGTGATAATTTCAAAGTGTCAGCATACAAGATCAACGTACTTTATTGTGGCGTTACTCTGGATCTACAATACCATGGAGTTTAAAAACAACATGTTTGTGTAAGTATACATATGTTATTTACTTACTGGAAATATCAGCATCGCAACAACATATATACTATATTTGTTTATCGAAAACAACTTCAAACCTCAAAATTTAAGGAATTTGAAATCGTCGCCGATACTGATACCGACACATAACGATTCCTAGTTTGTTACTATGTTGTCCGCTTCTCTTATTTCAGCATGTATAAATTACAGGTATTGTCTTGTAATTTAGATGACAAATTAATTCATGGTCAGTTTACTTTATGAACAATGATGCATATTTTTTTTTATTTATGAGTGATTATTGTAATTCAACATACAATATGATGTACCATCTCAGCGTATACTTAACCAGTGATATATGTTTTCGTGATAAAACCATCAAAATATTATTGACAGGATATCATTACATTACTAACTAGACATCATTACATTACTTACTAGATATCTGTTTAAGGTACTAACTGCAAGAATTTGTAAGCATTATATATATATATATATAAATATATATAAACTGTGAAGTATGTGAGCAGAAGAACCTTATAACCATAATAATATTTGACCTGACTGCATTGCGCGAGGAAAATCGATATAAAATTACTTCACCGGTGATAATTGGAACTTGTAAAAAATATCTGTTGGTTTCTGTTTACAAACATATCAAAAAAACCTTGTCTTTTTAACAGTCTACATAGATGTATTGTTTGCTTTTTAACCTCTAATTATACGTAATTGTTATTACAGGTGTCTCCAAGTTATCGTTGTAATTAGCTCAGTAGCCATTGGAGTATCAGGTGAGTGGACGTACCTATTGTTGGATTTATTCAGGGTTTGGGTACTCTTAACGCCTTGTAATAAAAAAAAAGTCTTATAGTTCCCCTAAAACACACTCTACAGTCATCAATAATATATACATATGTACACAGATCCTTTACATCTCTTGTAGATTTGTTTGTATAAGATAACGTGTGTAAAAATAAGGAGGGGACCTGCCGTGAGAAATGTATTATAGATCCACGTGGAGTTGTTTTGACTCGCAACGGGCGTCAGGACTCCCTATTTGTCCAGCCCCTAAAAAGTGGCTAATTGACAAGTCCTCAAAGGGGACAATTGAGTGATTAGTTGAAGTTGTTTTGTAAATCCAGTTTCACTCGTTATTGGCTTAGCGGCTTTGTCCAGGGGTTTATTTCCAAGTACTTTGTATTAAGTTATGGTCAACACTGATTTAAATGTTATCCTCCGCAAATAATGTTTTGACAAGTGGTTGTTAAATTTAATTCAGTTTGTTTTATGTCTTGACTTTTCAACGAAGCAGTGTGTATGAATAAAAATTCACACAGATTATTACTCGGTTTGCTATCGAGAAGACTATTGCTTGTAGTCTAAACTTTATAATCTAAGCGAAGTTTTCCAGTTAACGAATGGGAGGTTTTTAAATGTTAGTAACATACCGTGGATATTTGAAAGGTGTGTAAGTGAGTGAAGAGCTGACGGTCGATAACTTAACAGAATAATTCCATATCTCAAGGGTTATCAAAGAATGCGAGAGCGTCCCTATTCTCCAGAGTTTGTCTCCCGTTTGCGACAGTAAAGCAATTGGAAGCAATTGGCGTGTCTCGGCCGCGAGAACACTGATAACGTCTCTCCAATTTCGTTGAGATGTTGATAACAGCCCTGCCTTTGCTTTGTCCGGCCGCGATCTGTAAACACAAAACACATTAATATCGGTGTGTGTCAATGACTTTGGCATGGCTGCATATCTCAACTTCAATATAAAATACCATTTTCTTCAATTAACTAATCTTAATGTTAAGCGTGTATATAGTAATAGGCTTGTAGAATGCTGTAGGGAAAATATATATCGATTTTACCAACAGCTCTCATTAGCCTTGAACTAAAGATATCTTTATGAATGATGTCTTTTTAGCCACCTTTGTGAATGTTGTTGTCTTTGTAGCCAGCAAACCTTTTGTCTCAACGTTGTCATTTGGAGTTTACTTTGTAACATCGGTTCATGGCGCGTCTTCCATGGACTCTCACGGTTAACAGAATCCAAACAGCATGTTACAGGCATCTATTGTTAACAAATGGTTGGTTCATACACGATATGAATTAATCTAACTATGTGGTTAAACATCTTTTATTTAAATTGAAGTCTCTGAAATTGCCCTATGTTAAATACTGATACTAAACGCAACCTCTGTCAATGGTAACATATGGCCCTGTATACAAACACCATTAAAGCTCATGTTTCTACCATTAAAACGATCCTATTTGACTTTAAAACATTTAACTGAATTAGATGGAGATTTTTTTTGTATTCTATTTACAGGAGAGCAGAAAACTAAAATCAAAATGAAAGCAATACATGAACGAACGAAGCATCTCAACGAAGTAGACCAGCCTCGGTTCCGACAAAACGACATAGAGGCCCATCACTCCGTGACCAAAAATGGTGCGTAAAAAACTCTGCTGACAATTATGTGTTTAGTAATTAGACTTGTCAGAATTTCATTCAATCTGCGAAGTTGTATCATTCACATTTTAGAGGGATGTGGTGAGGGGTTGGGG